ACGGTTTTTTTTTTTTTTTCCTTTTTTTTTTTCTCTTTTTTCCTTTTTTTTTTTTTTCTGGAAGTAAAACACAGTTTGTGAGAACTTTATACACCTCAGACTTATAACGAATAGCGGAACACCTTCCTAGCATTATGGTACAGAGCTGCTCCGGGCTGTGCGGGACTGCAGAGGGCAGCAGAAGTCCCAGCTGAGCGCTCCATCAGGGCTGCGGGGAGCAATGCGGGGCGCCCCGTCGGCTGCTGGGCTGTCATTGCACCGTTTGAGTCGGAAGAGACCCCTAAAAGCCGTCTGGTCCACCTCCCTGCAGTGAACAGGGACACCCGCAGCTCCGGCGGTGCTCAGAGCCCCATCCAGCCTGACCTCGGCTGCCTCACAGCCTCTCTCAGCCTCCCGCACGGGGGAGGCGTTCCGTCCCTTGGTGGCTCTCAGCTCACCCCCTCCACCACGGCACCTGCAGACAAACCCCAGGGCACAGCTGGGGCTACAGGGACTGGGAGGAAAACCCAACTTGGCTGAAGTGGGACCGCCAGGGAGAGAAATCTGTCTCTTGGGAAGAGCTGCCATAGACAACGCTGATGGCAGCAGCGGGGCTGTGCCACATCTCCCTGCTGGGCACTCACTGGCACAGAGGAGAAGGGACAAGAGCAATTTTTCCTCCTATCAAATTATCTGTAGAACAGTGACTCGTCCAGGTGCAGCTCCAGCGCCGAATGCACCAGCAAATCCACACGGGACATCCCGCCGTGCCCTCCCACGCTCCCTTCCCACTTAACCCCCTGGAAACGGTGATACTGCCAAGGCGATTCAGCACGTAGAGCAGCCCTGCCTCTGCCCCCCTCTCTGCCACAGGCTCCCAGTTCCTCGCACGTCTCAGTGCCAGTCTTTGCCTGCGGGCAGCGGCCATCCAGAAGCGTGCTGCTGCCATTCCAGGGCTCACAGCACCATGGTGGGGATGTGATGGGCCAGGGAGGCGGGATGGGGAACGGGCAGGGCGGGCGAGTGAGCCTGCAGGGAGGCGTTGGGGGGCCGATGACGGGCACTTTTCTGGTGCGCCCGCAGCCCGGCGAGCTGGGAGTAGGCACTTTGGCAAACCTGGCACTTGTAGGGCCGCTCACCGGTGTGCAAGCGGACGTGGTTGCGGAGGGTGGAGGACTGGCTGAAGCGGCGGTTGCAGAAGCGGCACACGAAAGGCTTGTCCAGGGTGTGGATGCGCATGTGGGAGCGCAGGTTGCTGCGGGAGTTGAAGCCGCGGTGGCAGATGACGCAGCGCATGCGGCCCGTGGTGCTGGCTCCTGTCTCCACTGCGTGGAAGTCCTCTGGGAGCAACAAGGGGGAACGGTCAGGCAGTGCCCTCTGGGCTCACCCCATTCCTAAGCCATAAGTAACCGCCCCGTGCCCCAGCTGCACGCCGCACCCACAGCGGTGGTGACGCAGGAAGGCGACGAGGAGCGGGGATCTGCGGCTGTAACAGACCTGCTTCAGCCCCAGCTTCTCCCCCAGCCCTGCTGGGCTCTGCTTTGGGGCTCGCTCAGAGCCCTTTGGGGACTCGGCTCAGAGCGTAGCATTTCCCAAAGGGCTCAGGAGCTCCACTGCCTGCCCATGGGAGCTGCTGAGACAGGCAGAGTGCCAAAGCCTCCTGCACTGGCTATGTGGAGAAAGAAGGGTTTGCACCGATAAATGCAGAGCAGGGAAATAGAAGAGCGCATCCCGGCACCTCACAGCATGTTGGGGCTCCTTCCTCCCTGCCTGGCAGCTCCACACTGGGTCAGGCAGTGGCTGCTGGCACAACCCCAGCCATGGGCATGCTGACACCGAGGATCTGCTCAAACTGCAGGCTCTGTTTTGGGGGAGATGGGCTCTGTCTTACGGGTGAAGCTGACCAGCTCCTTTCTGTAGGATTGTGGAGAGCTGCGGGTCCATGGGACATGCTGCGCTGCTCAGAGATCTGTATGCTTGCCCTCAGAGAGCTGTGAGTCCCTGCTCCATACCCACCCTGGCCACAAAGCTGGGGATGGGGTGAGCAGGGAATGACATGGCTGTTTTTGCTGTCACCTACCATGTTTGTTCTTCTTCTGCTCCTCTTCCAGCCCTGGGACACCTGGGATGCCCAGGAAGGTGTTGTGCGAGTTCCCATACCAGACCAGCAGCTCTTGATCCGGAGGAATCATCTGGAGAAGGAACACAGATGGGGGTGTTGGGGTGGCACACCAAGCAGCTCTACCCGCATCTTCAGCCAGTCGTTTCAGATTCCTGCAAGGTCCCACTGCCATCAGCACTGCTGAACACCCCCAGCACTCCCCAGGCCGTGGGCCAGGCGCGGCGCTGATCACACTGACAGTGATGGCATCACTCAGCACTCATGTACTGATGGCACTGAGCTGCACCTCGGTCTTCCCTAGGTCCAGGAGCAGGAAAAGGAGCAGCAGTGGGGCACAGATTCCCATAGCTGAAGGAGATGGAGGTGTGGCACAGCACATACAGACATGGAGAAATAAGCTACCGTGTGCCCACAAACCACAGCAAGGAGCAATGACACAGAGATCGGACATGGTGCCATACGCAGTGCTCTGCATGGAGCCCTTGGCACTCCCTGCAGCTGGACACAGCAGCATCTCCCACCCCAGCAGGGTCATTCCCCAGCAGTAGAAATTCAGGTGGAAATGCAGATGCAGCCTTGGGCTCAGCCAGCGTAGGGAACCAGCCGAGATCCCAGCGGCTGCTGCAGGAGAGCGTGGTCCAGGCGTGAGATGCTGCCTCTTCCAAAGCCCCATTGCCTGCACCAGCCCAAGCGGAGAGCAGGAAGGGCTTTTCTTTTAGCACTGCCCCTGTTCCTATGGGATAACAGCACTCCTCCCACCCTTGATGTTTGGGTTCTGGTTCCGCACTGCAGTGAGAGCTGCCAGGAACAGCGCCCGAGCAGCCCCTGCAGCACAGCCATGGCCAGAGGATGGATGTCTCACACCACAGCAGCCGCATAAGGCAATGCTCATAGCAACACCACCCTACAAAAATACATATCTTTTCCCCTTGCAGGTCCCTAGCATTATTAGGATCTAATTTAGAGAATACTGAGTTTCAGAGGTTTGCTTCCCATACGCAGAGTTCAGGAAAAGCATTTTTCCCTACGAAGCAGAATTGAAAGTCAGGTCGCCGTAGCACTGTTGAAGTGCCTGATTTTAAGCACCTGAAAGCAGCGGTGCTTTGGCTCCATATGTTTACATTTCAGCATGTGGACTTGACTGTGGTTACAGAATCAGAGATGAGACCATCGCTTCCCGTCCCAAACCAGTGCTGTTCCTCGCCGTCATTTTCTCTTTAATGGAAAATGAGTTCTTTTTAATAGAAAGAAATATTGCTAGAAAGATTTTCAAGAAGCACACACACACACACACACACACACTGGATCAGGTGTGTGCATGTCCATGTGGATGTGTGCGCTCTGCTGGGGCTGGCGCACACCCACAGCAGTGCATCCACCTGCACGCAGCCCAGAGCTGTGCCACCACGGCGCCTCACGGCTTTCCAACCTGAGGCCAAACTCACCACCCTCGCTGCGTTTTCCAACAGCAACAATTTAGAATTGGCAAGGAATGGAATGGGAGAAGCAAACTGGGAAGGATGAGCGGGAACGGGCAAAAAACACATGAAAATAGGAATGCCAAATAGCACCAGAAGCCCCCCTAAAAATGATTTGTCACCTTAGAGCTGCAGCAACACCTCTCTCTCTGCCCCACAATATTTCATTTGTGTGGCTCTGAGTTAAGAGATTAGCAAGCAGAGTTTTCCTTTCAGAAGGAAAACCAAACCCCCCTCCTTTTTTTTCTTCTCTTTTTGGTGCACAAACCTTGCACAGTTGGAGCCAGCAGCCGCTACCAGTTGCTACCATGCCCTGATGGCAGCAGCACAGCAGCACCTCCTGTCCCCACATCCCCTCCGCACAGAGCTCAGAGCTCTCAGCACTCCAACTGTCTGCGTACAGGGAATTAAACTCAGCAGCCCCTGCACTCAGATGGTTATGGCCGTGCAAAGCCCCTGCTCACACCCTGCACATCACCACCCACGGCTGGGCAGGGTGAGGTCTGTGCGGGATGACAAACACGGTGTGCTCCCAGCTGCACGGATGTTGCCTGGAATTATTTTGCTTCTTTGCATGATGTAAGAATCAAAACAAACTGAGCTAATGCCGCTAACGCTACACCAGCTGCCCGCAGGAGCGTCAGGACCTAAAGCTGGGCACAGCAAAAGCCTGCAAAGGGATGTGCAGAACAGGGAGAGCAGCTCGGAGCTCCTCCCCACCCCACTGCTCCTATCCCTGGGGTGCTGCCTCAGTGCTGCGCTGCTGCCCATGGAGCAGCTGATTCTCAGGAGCCCCTGCTCATGGGATGGGTGGCTGCCCGTGCTCCTGCCCAGCCAAGACAGCCTCCCAGCAGCAGTGGGGTGAGATGGAGCTGCCCCCTTTCCCACCTCTCCAACCCACACAGTTGCTTGGTGACATCCCTGTGATGCCATCACCCTTCACTGCAGCGGCAGTGGTTCATGGGGATGCATTTACTGCCAGAGCCGTGGTGACCTCCAGGTAAAAGCTGCAGAGCGGAGCGCAGCCTTCACCTGGATTTCACAGAAGCCCCCAGCTTGGGTTGGTGTTCTACACTCAATCCTGTCTCTCGATACAGCACGGGAATTCTGCTCCTGCCCACAGGGTGAGAAACAGTGCCGGGATTGCAGGGATTGTTCAGATGTTGTGCTCCAAAGTGAGCCTGCTCAGCGTTTGCTCTCCCTCTGCACAGCACGCATCGGTGCATCCGCCAAGAGGAAACAGAGGGAACAGAGCTTTGCTGCCTCCTCAGAGCCCATGCGTGGCGTTACCCCATATGTCTGGGTGCCAGGGTGCTCCCACAAGCGGTCCAGCAGCAGCCCCAAAAACAAGGGAAGGCCAGCAGGGTGGGATCTCTGCACCCACATACCTCAATGGCTTTATAGAAGATGCTGTTCCCGATCTGCACCACCTCCAGGTTCTGCTCCTGCTCGTTGCGGGCACACTTGATGTAGGTCATCCAGCTGCGATGGTCCTCCTGGCTGGCGTCAATGAAGTACCGCACCGTGCCGTCCTCGTTGAAGACCTGGGAGGGGAGCACAGGGCTGTAGCGGCGCTGCCTGCAGCGAGCCAAGCCCTTCCCACAGCCCCAGCGCCAGGGGATGCTCTGAGATAATGTCCCCAAAGCCAGCACGGCCTCGGGGCTGAGACCTCGGGGAGATGCGGCCGCCGGGCTGAGGATGGCGGAGCCTCGCGGCGCAGGACGCGCGTCACAGCGGAGCCGGCTGGGCACAGCCTGGCAGCCCAGCTCCCCGCGTCTGTTCTGTGGCCCCAAAAGGGCCGCTCGGTGCGCCGCCAGCACCTCGGGGAGATCTGTCCCTGCGTGAAGGAGGAAGGCACCTGCCAGAGCCAGTCCTTGTGGGCTACGCTTTGTGGGGCAGCGGCAGAAGTGAGGCGAGCTTTGCCGTGCGTGAGGCAGTCATAACAAGAAGTGCGAGTCTGGGGCTGAGTGAAAGTGGAAATGGGAGCAAAACGCTCCCTGCAGCCGCAGCAACCCGGCTGCTCACATCACCCCAAAACCCACAGCATCGCTGCAGGGCTGGGACGAAGCAGGGATGCGGCAGAGCCATTGTGTCGCTGGGATCGCGGCGGGGAGCGGCCAGCCGGGAGCATCAGCTCTGTGGAAGGACAGGGCGGGAGGTGACAAAGCGGTGCGGCACGGGGACACCCCGAGGGCTGCGCTCCGGAGCTCCTGCCCTGGGGGAGGCTGGGGAAAACTGAGGCACGGGGAAGGGCTCACAAAGCACAGGTCGGAGCGCCGCCACCCCGCGTCCTGCGGGACCGTTACCTCCCACATCAGGTTGTTGTTCTTGCACAGGTCCACGTGTTCCGGCGAGATCACCCTGCCCGTGAACGGCCCCATCTCGGTGCCGGCCTTGATCCACGTCTTGGAGAAGATGCCGAGCCCTTCCCCGGGGATGGAGCTCTGAGCGATGATCACTTCCGACGGCAGCACCAGGCTGGAGAGCTTCTGCACCTCTGCGGCGACGGGAGCGCGGTCAGAACGGGGCCCCCCAGCCCTCCCCAGCCCACGGAGCACCCACAAAGCGCTGCTTTGTGCCCCCGGCCCCGGGCTGAGCCCTGTCGACGCCCTGCCGCGCCTCTCCAAAGCGGTGCCCGGATCCCTCGGGGCATTAAGCGGTACCTGGGAACAGCGGCCCTGGCTGGGCAGGGAGCGGGGCTGGGAAAGGGGGTTAAATGGTGTCTATTTCGGCCCATCCAGCAATTTGTCACGCTGTTAAAGTGATCTGCATTCATTAAACTCAACTCGAAAGAAATTGCTAATTCTAAATTCATTAGTCCTTTAGGAATGCTGTAGCGGTACATTGCGGCTGAATGGCGCGAGGGCTTGTTTAAAAGGGCCCAGGAATTCCTCTTACAAAATGGGGAGATGAGATGGTTGACATATCGTGAATGGAAATGGAATTAGCCTTCATGGTAAATTAAGAGAGGAACAGAAATCCGAGAGGGGGAAAAGGGAGCGGGGCCGCGAGAAGGGACATTGTGCGGGGCTGAATGCGGCGGGGACGGAGCCCCGGCCCCCACCCCCGCGGTTTAAGTGGGAACTTTCTCAGGTCAAGCCCGAGTTAACCACATGAATTTAAAGCCCTTCTTTCGCCGTCAGCCGCTGTGACACACCCGGGGGAGCGGGGCCGCGACTCACCTCCGGAGAAGGACTGCGCCAGCACTTCGGCCGTGAAGGCGGTCTTGGGGCTGCTCTTCTCCTCGAAGAGCTGCTCGCCCAGCACGTTCCTCCAGCGGCCGTAGAGGAAGCTGTGCAGGATGTCGGACGTGATCACCTCGGCCAGGGAGAGCCCCTGCGGCTTCAGGCCGGGCTTCAGCACCAGGGCTTCGGCGGGCAGCACCGAGCCCATCATGGGGGCGAGGCGGGCGGCCGGGCTCCGTGCGGCTCGGCGGCTCCCGCCCGCCTATATATGAGCTTCATTGACCCTCCTAATTGGTTATTAATGACCTCCCTGACGTTGGAGGAGCGACTGGGGCTGCCGGAGCGAGGCGAGCCGTCGGAGCCCCCCTCCCCTCCATCCCTCCCCTCCCGGGGGTGGGGTGGCTGGAGGGAGGGACACGGCACACACAGCCGCACACACACATCCACATCCACACACACACACACAAACACGCATACACGCACCGGCTCGGCACCCCCCCGCACCCCCTCCCGCCCGCCCGCCCCGTCGGGCACCACTCGCTCCGACTGCTCCGCTTCGCCCTCGGCGTCTCCCAGCCGGCCCCGGAGCTCGTTCCGGGGACAAAACGCTGCGCTTTGGGGCCGCGGAGCTCCACAACGAAATCCGCCTCCCCGAAGCCGCCACACACTGCTTCTTCGAGCCGTTCGGCCCCCGACGCAGCGGGGTAACGGGCAGAGCTCCGGCGGACCGGATCCACGCGGTCCCGTCCGCCCTCGACGGCTTTCGCTCTCGGTTCCTGGGAGCGGACTCGGGGAGACGCACGGAGCTCGGTGCCAGCCCGGAACCCCGAGCACTGGGGTCCGTTCCCTAAACGCGGGCGGCCGGCAGCCCCGTATCGGGATCTGCTCCCCCGGCTGCGACAAGCGGGTCCCAAACCCCGCGTCCCCAGGGCAGAGACCGGGCAGGCGCCGCGGAACTCAACCGGGTCCCCATCTCTGGGACTCTGTGCCCGCAGCACCTCTACGTCTGAACCCAAAATTATTCCCGTCCCCTACGGCGACCTCCGCTCCCTCCGAGCCCCGGGCGCTCCGCCGCCACCGGTGGCCCCAGGGTGGCACATTTGTCCCCACAGAGTGACAGAGCGGTCCCCACAGAAGCAGCGCTGCCCTCCCTCCCCCGGGGCTCCGTGCCGGCTCAGCAAAGGGTTAATCTTCCCTGGATTTAAACCCGATCCCGCTGTGTCGGAGCTTAGAGACCTCTCCGCAGCCCCGTTCTTTTGATTTTCATGGGGACGAGGGGCTGCAAAGGGCCGGGAGGCGGGGGGAGAAGAGCACGGACCCCAGATTCACCCAGCAGAGCCGGATCCGATATTCCGAGCCCCGCAAAGAGCCGGGGCCGCCCCCAGACTCACCGGGACCCCGCAGCCCCGGCGGCTTTAGCGGGGTGAGCCCGACGGGCTGCTCTCTCCGCGCAGGGCGGCACGGGGAGCGCTGCTACAGCCCGGGTGCGATCGCTTCTTGCCATTCATCTCACCAAGAAGATGCGCGAATGTCAGAAACCCACCCAAAATGTTGATTACAGAATGCGCTTCCTCGGAAAAAAAAAGGCAACGCTCCCTTAGGGCAGGAAGGTTCGCAACCTGCCAGGACTCGGGGCTGGTTTTAATGCACGCATAAACGGGTTGGTTTTCGGGTTTCTGGGCTCCGAAGAGAGCGGCAGCTCCGCGCACAGCGCATCAGGTGGAGCCGCTCCGCCGCCGCGGACGCGCAGTCCCCGCGCTCCATCCCGCACCGCACCGCACCGCATCGCCTCTCTCCTCGTCCCGCGACAAAAACGATGTCCCCCCTTCTCCCTCCTCCCCCAAAACCCGCGGCCTCCTCCTCGAGTTGGGGGTTCGGGGTGGGGGGAAGGAAAAAGGTGGGAGGAAAAAAAGAAAATCCTCCCGTTTTGTGCTGGGTTTTAAATATCCCCAGCTGTTTCCCAAACCTTTTTCCCCACCGTAGGTGCTTTGCCCTCCCCCCCCACCCCCCCCTCCGCCCTCCCTTCTCGTTTCTCTTTTTTAATATCGCAGCTATCCCTCCTTTTTAACATTTAGGAGGAAACAAGTTTAATATTCATGGCTGTTAATAGAGAAGGGCCATTATCGCCGCCCCATTGTTCCGAGCCCCGCACAATGCCGCTTGTATTTTCATGTGTATATTCCCAAAGTTCCTTCTGAGCGTTTAGTGAGCACTTTAATATTCATGGGTGTTAATAGAGAAGCCCTCAGTATATTGGCATATTGTTGGGAGGTGTACATATTGGTCTGACTTTGAATAGCCACAGTCCTCTTTTCTTTTGCTCTGTTTTGCAGGGTTGATGGGCCAGGAGTAAATGGGCATTTTTCCCCCCCGTCTCCCCCTTACAGAGAGAACATCTTTATTCCAGTCCCAGACTTTCTGGTTTCCCATTCAGGACCCTCAGAAATAATGTCAGGCAGAAGAAAAGTGGAGCAAATCAATCTTTCATGGTCTTTTTGAGACCAATTTGACATCCATGGACTCTTCTTTTCTTTCACAGCCTACAAGGGGATGGTCAGGATCTGGACAAGGTTGGGGTCTGATGAGGGGAGACATGGGATCATAATGCAGCAAAGAGAGAAAAGAAAAGCAAAACAAGAAAAGATTGCAGGGATGGGGTGATGGAGGAAAAATGAGGGTGAATGACAGTGCAAGAAAGGAGATTAGAGCCCAGCAGCTGCTTTTTGGGGGGTGGGGGGGAGGGGGGAGCTCTCTCCCCTCTTCCAGCCCTCCGCATGAATAGGATTTGAACAGAGCTGAGATTGATTTATAGTTATTGCAGTTGAACATTTATTGCTCTTAAAGAGTGGCGGGGAGAAAAGAGAGAAAAGGGGTTTGAAAAGCTCCTTTCTGTATTAAAGAGGTATCAAATGAAGACTGCTGAGATAATATACAGTGGCCAATGGGAATTTGATTTGCTTTAAAATTTAACTCTTGTGGGGCCGCGGCTGCCGACCGCTCCGGGGCTGCGGGATAAGCGGGGATCGCGGCCGCTCCCGGCGTCGGATCCGCGCATCGCTGCGCGGCTGCGGGCGGCAGAAGCGGGGCGGATCGCTGCCGCTTCCCCATCGCCGCCGTCGTTGTGCCGCTGCACGGAGGCGCGTGCGGATTTGTTTTCGTTTTGATTTTTGAAGGATAGAGCGAATGCAAGCGGGACGCGGAGCTACGAAACGAGCGGCGCGGCGAGGAGCGCTTCCCGGAGCGGAGTTTTCCTGCCCTAAAACCTCCGGTTTCTCTCGTCTCCCGCTCCAGAAACGCGAGCGCAGCGCAGTTCCCCCCCGGGCGCAGAAAGGAGCCCATTGTTCAGTGGGGAGAAATACATTTTTAGCGGTGATTGAAAGCTCCCCTCTCGTTTGAACTCTAAGAAGAAAGTCCCTGGCAGCGAAGAGCATCCCCCTCCCTCTGCCCCAACATCTGTTTGGAGCAATCCAGGCTCTAGGGCACGGCTCTGCCCCCTCCCAAAGTCATTAAAAAGATATTAGTTGAGCTGAGAAAAGTCCGGCGCGGCCCCCGGCCGGTGCAGCGGGGGCGAAAAATCATTAAAGACGATTTTGGATTTACCACCAATAGCGGTAGAAGGGACACGCGGGCTCCGAGCCGAAAAGCTCCGCAACGACGAGAGCCGGGCGGTGCCCTCCCCGCTGCCCGCCGTCCCGGTGCCCCAAGCCGGCGTGGCGCAGCGCGTCCGACCCCATCGACGGCTCCGAGCTGCGGGAGCGGAGCTGCGAGCGGCTCAGGTGCAGCGGCCGCATCCCCTGCACCACCCCGCGCCGCAAATAGGCCGGAGCCGAGGGAAAGGAGGGGGGCAGGAGGGATCATCGCACCCTGCGGGAGCCGGGGCAGGAGGGATCACCGCACCCCTGCGGCTGCCGCAGGAGCCAGGCGCCTCCGAAGTTGCTAAATGTGTCATTTATTAAAGCATTCAGGGGGCTTTTCTTTGGCGTTTGCTTGCAAACTCACAAAGGCCGAGCTGCTGTTTGGGGGTCTTTTCTGATGGAAAAAGGGCTCGGAGACCCCCGGCACAAAAGAAATCCTGGCAGTGCTTTCAATGGCCGGGACTCAATGAGGGGGACCCTGCGCGCAGCGGGCGGGGGCGAGGGGCCGCCCGGTGCTGCCTGAAAGGCAGGCCTGAATGTAATGGGGAGATCGGCGTTTATTTGTTGGGATCACATTTAATTAGCTTAGTACAACCCTTGAAAGACAAAGGGACCTCAATCTGGATCCAATCTGAAGCTCGTTTGGAGAGCGAGGGCTCCTGGAAAAGTCAAAAGAGAGAAAGGAGAAAGAAAAGGGAGGCTGGGAGAGAAAGGGGCCGGGGGCCCAGCCAGGTGACTGGCACGCGTGAAACAAGGGGGCCTTTTGGGCACAAGGCAGGGCTCAAAAGGGAGGGAGGAAAATAGCCTCTTCCTCAGGTTCTACCTACTTCAACCCTCTGAAGGGGCCGGGGCTGAAAAGCCTCAATAGGGGCTAAGGGGGCTGCAAAGCAAACAGCGGCGCTGGAGAGGGGCTGCGGCCCTGCGAGGCAGCAGTTGGCAGCACTCGGTTATGGGAATGCGCCCAAATGTTCCCCGTGTCCGCAGCGCCCGCGGATGGGGACAGGAGGGGGCCGGGGACACCCAGCCCTCCGTGCTGCCCCGTGGCCGTGCGATGGGGCCATCCGGGGGTGTCCCTGGGGGCACACGCCTCGTGCTGGGCAGCCACTCGTGTCCCCCGCTTCTCTTCCCCTGTAGGGAGCTCCGAAGCGGCCGTCCCCAAAGTGCCGCATCCGTGGGATGGAGCTGAGCAGCCTCACCGTGCCCTCGCTCAGCCTTTCCTCTGGCTGGGTTCGGGGTGTCCCCGAGCAGTGCCAGCGATGGTTGGGTCCCGAGGGCGCTCAGAGTGCAGAGAGCCTCCAGCACAGCGCCCGGAGCCGGGCTGATGGCACTGCTTGAAGGAGCTTCGGGGCATTCTTTGCCTCGTTTCTCTCCGTGGGAGGCAGCGGAGCTGTGGAGGGAGGTGCTGAGTGCTCTCCCTGCTGCTCCCGCTTCATTTCTTGTCTCTTTCTTTTCCTTTTTTTTTTTTTTTAAGTAGTAACTCCTGGATTATTTTGATGAGATCACGGTACACAAAAGCAAACAGGGAAGGAAAGAGCCCATCTGTGCACTCCCGGCTCCATCCCAGCGCTCAGCACAGCTCAGGTGGCTGCAGATGAGGGGCGATTGTGGCACATCACGAGGCTGCTGGGGATTGGGACCCTGCAGCCAGAGCTGCCCCGGAACAGGGAGCGTGTATGGACCCCATCCCAGGGCTGGGTGCTGAGGGGGCTCCCCATAGATCGAGGTTACAGGAAGGAGCAAAGAGGGTTTGGGACTGGAGAGGTGGGAAAATCGCTGCCTGTGTCCCGCCCTCCATCTGTGAGCTGAGGACAGGGCAGTCGTGTCCCACCGCTGTCTCTCCTGCACAGCACAGTGGTTTCACCAGCACTACATCATGCCATGCATCCCACCACCACCTCTCCATCCCACCACCGCATCCTTCACCCCGTCAACACCTCCTGCACCCCATCCATACCTCCCCCCCCCTCTCCCCCCCTCTCCCATCCCATCACAAAGTTCTGCATCCACCCTCTCACCCACGTTCCACCACCACGTGCCCATCGTTGGCTGTGAGCAGGGTTGGGCTGTGGGGCCACGCAGTGCAGGCAGGGGTGGGTGACAACGGCAACGAGAGCTCGTCAGCCCCAAAGCCTTTGTCGTCCCCATTCTCTGCAAAACAAACAGAGCGACGGCCTCTGCTCACCGCAGGACCGACTTCACGTTCCCTGTCCATTGGCCCCAGCACTGAGAGCAGCTCTGGGCACGGAGTGCTGAGTGATGGCTCGCACAAAGGGACGGCACCGCTAATCCCCACCCCGCAGCACCTGCACCCGGCCGGCCGGGATTAGAGGCAGCGCAGAGATCAGAGGCTGCTTTAGAGCGGCCTTGAAATAGGATTTCCTCAATGATAAGGGGAAGGCTGGGAAGATGTGCCGAGCTCACAGTACCTGCCCCTGCACCTCACCGTGCGCCTTTGGGTCACTGAGCCCCCGAGCTGCAGTGGGAAAATGGCTCTGGGTGCAGGAAAGCGAGGCTGGGAGCAGCCACCCCTCCCACCCACCTTCCTGCAGGCACAGCGCTGCTCCGATCGATGCCCCGTTCGAGTGCTCAAGCAAAAAATGAAGTTCTGTGCCTGCTGTCTGCTTCGATCATCATTTCAGTGCAACTCGTGATGGCCACGGTGCAGTTCGTTCTGGAATCATGCAAAATTAAAGCAGGTGTTTTAGTAGCCTGCCTTCTGCTCTCAAAATAGCCCCACGCCCATCGAGGTGCCCAATATAGAGCAGCATCTGCGTGGCTGCAAACCCAGGGCTCTGAGCTCTGCCCAGCGCCTCCCGCTCCCAAACCTTCCACCCACAGCGCAGCGCAGAACCCCCTTCCTCCATGAGAATCCCATCAGAGCTTAAATCCACTTCATTTTGGAGATCACAGCCGTGCAGAGCTGAGCAGGAGGCTGCTCCCTCCTGGAGGAACCACGAAGGCACTGTGGCAGCTCCTAGGCTGCAGGGCTCCCCTCAGTCACAGCCCTCAGAGCGACAGGCGCCGCCATGGACCTGCAGCACACCAAGGGCGTCCCAGCACCTCAGGGACCTGCCATCACACCGAGCATCTGCCATCGCGTCTGGGCTCTCACACCAATGGCTGCTCTCCCATCGCAACAAAGCTCTCCCATCAAGTTGGGATTCTCCCGTCGCCTTGAGGTTCTCCCTTCCCATCACGCCCAGTATCAGCACCCACGGCCCCGGGCCCCATAGAGGCGATGGGGCACCCAGCAGCTCCAGCCCCAGGGCTTTGCAGAGCAGAGCTTCGATGGCCGCAGCCCCTGCGCCCCAAGCGGGCGGCGGTAATGGAAAACAAATAGCTGAAGTTGGGAACATTTTGAGCACTTTAGCCTGCCAGGACACCAGACTGCTGATGAAAACCCAGCTTTGCAGGCACCATCTTAATGACAGGCCAAATTTCAAAGCCTCGCAAACTATTTGCTTCGCCTCCCCACCCCCTCAATAAAAGGTTGCATCAGAAAGAGATATTTCCATAATTTATAGTATGGGCATTTCACTGGGGAGACTCTCTAATCTGTACTTACAGATACATTTAAGAAAATGCATCCTCCCACAATCCTGCGCCATTTACGACCATTGGCACAATCCGTAATACTCAGTCTTCAATTAAGGGACACCTTAGGGTTCATTATCACACAATTGCTCCCTGTGAACCATGCCAAATGCTGTTTTGGCACAGAGCTCGGAAGATGAATTAGAAGGAAGTCTTCTCGGTAATGCCCGCTCCCAATTCCCAGCAGCAGCCCCGCGTCCTCCTCCAGCCCTTTTTTCCCCCCTCTCCCCTCTTTCCGAGCGGCTTTTACCATCCCATCGCTCACTGTCTCCCTCGATTCTCTGGAGGTGCATTGAGAGACTCCTCAGCTCTCCGTCCTTCCGGCTCTCAGCCCCGCAGATGGGCTCGGCTCCCCCCGCCCCACGCAGCACAGCACACGCCGTCCTTCGCCCACAGGCCGCCTTGTGGAGATTTTATTATATAGAGTGTAAAATGCAACTCCAGTCCAACGAAAGGAACATCGCGCCTCGGATTCTTGGGTCTTTTTTGTGTGTTTTTTCTCTGTTTTAAACCTCAGCATCGCGCGGCGCCGGTTTCTTTACAGTCAGACATCGCAATGGTAAGGGACAACAGGGGCAGAAGGCAAGAAGGGCAGCTGGGGTGCAGAGCAGAAGGGAACGTCCTGCAGGGAACTCTAAAGGCAAAAAACAGCTTCGATTCTGCTCCTCCTTTAAAGACAGTTATCTGTACAAGGAACTACAGCCGACAGCGCCAGTCATAGCATCTCTTTTATTAAATCAACATCATTCAGCGTACGGAGGTTAATACTAGATTCATTTCTCTCTAGGCAATCTGACAATATTAGATAGGAAAATATTTAAAAGGAACAAAAAAAAAAAAAAAACCAAACAAAAAAAGCCAAAATAAAAACAGAACTGAAACAAACCCACCTTGGGATTAAAAAATAGCTTTACTACCTCTGATAGGGCTTTGCGCCTCCACAGTGTTTGTTAAAAGGTTCTCACAATAGCAGATCCACTTTCATATTAAAAATAACAGTATTTATATTTCTGAGAGCATAGAGGAAGGTTTCTTTTCTTTTCTTTTTTTTTTTTTCTTTTTTTTTTTCCCATTGAGCTCGGAGGTCTCAGCTCCACCAACGCAGCCGTGGCCACGGGACGGGGAGGAGGAGGCTCCCAAAAAGCCGCCCCTGTGTTCCTGTTCCCCTTCCTCAGAGCCCAGCAGGGAGCCGAGGGCACAGCGCAGAACTCGCAGCGTCCTGCCAGCACACAGCACTGCTCTTCCTTACAAAAAAACAACAATGCAATAAAAATCAAAGATGCAAGAAAACGAGAAGTAAAACATTTAATGAATTTACATATTTAAGAATATTTAAATACTGTTTAAAATCCTTTTTTTTTTTTTTTTCTTTTTTTTCTTTTTTCTCTTTTTTTTGTTTTCAATTCGGATTCGTTACACATCGCCTAAGACTTACAAGCCACTCTTTCTGGTGCGGCAGGGGTTACCCCCCCCCCCCCCAGCCCCGCCGAAATCGCGGCCCCAGGGGGGGGGAAAAAAAAAAAAAAAAGAAAGAAAGAAAGAAAAAAATAAACCACCCAACCAACCCCAGCTGGAGAACAGCGGCCGCACGCGTTGAAATGTCACAGCTCCAATGTGCGCTGCTGGAGCTGCAGCTCCCCCCGCTCCGTCCAAAGGGGATCCCGGAGGGTTTTGTGTTTATGGTTGTTGTTGTTGTTTTGGTTTTTTTTTTGTTGTTTTTGCTGTTTTGTACAAATTTAGAAACAAAATTACCAGCATGTCCGTAAGTTTAGTACGTTACTAATTGCTCCTGATTCTTAGAAAAGTTCAGTACGGATTATCCTACAGCTAGTGTTTCACAAACAAACAGAAAAGTCTTCATCAAAACGTTGCAAATCTAGAAACCTCTGTTACAAAAAGGTTTTCTTCCACAATGATTCCGAGGGAGAAACCAAGTAGCGACGATGGCCGTGAGGGCGTTGTTCTACTGCTCCTGTGGGCACAGGGACACGGGACGTCAGCGCGGCACCCAGCACCCCTCTGCCAGCCACCCCCAGCACCCGGCCCATGGCTCCCCTGCTGCAGTGCCACCAAGGCGAGGTTCTGCTCCCCCCTCCATCAGGCAGGTGCCCCCCAGCCGTGCCCTGACCCAAGCACCAAGCTTGCCAGAGAAAAGGCAAACTGCCCCACAGGACAGCGCTGCTCCGTCCTGCCGGCCTCAAGCTGCCGTTCACTGTGCTGAAATCCCACCGACAGCCGCAGAACGGCTTGGGGATGGTGAGCAAAGCCCTCAGGGGAAATAAACCCACAGCCTCCCAGTGCCCCCCACAGATCCACCCTGCACAGGGAAGTCGGTCTGATGCTGAGAGAGCGCAATGCACTGAGCGACTCCTGACTTCTCCAGCCACAAAACACCTCTGTGCTTCACTGCACCACTCCAAGGCTCTCCCCACACCCAGCTCCCCCAGGGTAACAGCAGAGGGTGAATACACACCTGGCTGTGGGCCTGCGCCTGCCCTAGTGTCTGCCCATAGTAGGCGGCCTGCTGTCTGTAATACTCTGCCCAGGCCATCGTGTAGTCCGGCTGGGAGCTTGCCTGAGAAGCAGCGCTGGCAGCATGACCTGGAGGAAAGAGAAAGGGAAAGGGAGGGATGAGCAGCTGGCTAAGACGAAACCCAGGCTGCCAAATGCAAATCCAGAAGCTGGCACCGCACGCCTCGTAACGGAGCGGAGGAAGGCAGGGCCACGACTGTCCACACACCTGTGTGCAGAGCATTCCTACCTTTTTTGACAACCCAGCTTCAACTTTCTGGGTTTTGTTTTGTCAGCATCGATTCTCGGTGTGTGCAATGCTTCCCCAGCACGGACACGGGCTCTGCTGTGCACTGAAGCTCAGCAGGAACAGCCCTCCTGAGGCCCAGCAGCAGGCACCACGACAGCTTCCAGTGGAAGAACTACCATGCACCATCACCAGCTGCAGGGAGGGAGGGAACTGCAGAGGACTGGAAGCTAATGATGGCAGGGGATGGAGACGCAAGTCATCGGATTAGCGTGAACTCTGTAACAAAAGTTTCCTCATCTCCAACAACCCTGTTTCACTCACTCTGTTTTTTGTAATATTCCTCCCATGCTTTGCTGTAATCGGGATGGCTGTTCTGCTGCTGGCTCTGTTGGCCTGTGCAAAGATGACAACAAGGGGCATGTCAATATGGAACAGGTGACAGTTTCCAGCTAGTGACATCTACCTCTCCACTAGACAGGCCCTGGCTCTACCTCAGTTGCCTGGATTCCATGCTTCAGCCTCCACGTTTCTACTGCATTGGGCATTCTCAGTTTGGGGAGACTCAAGTTCCTGATTCCATCTCACCTGAGCGCTGCTGAGGGGCACGAAGCCAAATTCCATCCCTCCCCTCCACTCTGTCAGGACTCGCTCGAGGCCAAGCACGCTGTTTGGGAGCTGCTAGCTCTGCACATCAGCCACCCAAAGCTGTCGGCCTGCTCACACCTACTGCAGGGACCTGGGCTTCAAACCCTGACAGCAGAGCCCTATCCCCTCAACCTCCACACAGAGGTGCCATGGATACAACCACATCTGCAGTCACCTGCATCTGCACCCCATGCTCTTGCAGCAGGACACATCCCAAGGAGTCCTGGTGGCAATGCCCACCTGTACAACGTGGTCAGCACTCAACAAGCCACCGGTCCCAACACCACCCTGTGCAGCAGCATCTGTGAAGCCCTCTGAGCAGGCACGGCTGGCTCTGGGCTCCTGCACTGCACTAAGAGCCATACGGACAGCCCACAGAGCCAAAGCCTGCCTGCACCCAGCACTAACCTCCCTCCTTCAAACAACACTAAGATGTGGTGAAGCCAGTGTGTCTAAGTGTTGTTGAGGGGAGAGTCCAACGTGCTGGCTGCAGAGGCCGCAGTCAGAGCAAAGAGCCCTCAGCCAGACGTGCAGCAAACCAACCCTGAACAGAAAATACAGCACTCAGAAAAAAACTGCAGAGGAAGGCAGGCACAGTGAAAGCACAAACTGCTGCACGCACAGCAGGCAAGGACAGCACACACACACACACACACACACACACACACACACACACACACACACACACACACTGAGGAGCTCTCACAGCCCATCCAAGCCCCTCGGCTTCATCTCAGAGGGCTCTGAAGTGGGGGGAGAGGAGGAACGTAATGCACTGCGAGTGTGAAGTGGGTGGAGGGAACAGGGCAGCAGCGTCCTGTCCAGGGGCATAAAAGCAGGTTAAAAGACTTGACCAACGCTACAAGTCAGGACCTTTTCTGGCAGAGGTCAAGGCTGCCTCAACTGTCCACCTGCTAATGCCAACAAAGGACCTCCTTCAATGCCTTTTCTTCTCGGAGAATTACAGTCGGCAGCGGGCTGAAAGGACACGCAGCTAAATGCATTTCACGGCAAAATGTTTCTCTGGCCAGTTAATTTAAGATGGGGGAAGTAATTAAAATCTGAATACATGTGTAGGGGTGGGGGCTGCCCCTCCTCCCACAAGGAGGGCACTCTGGGATCTGTCCCTGGGAGTCAAGGGACGGCTCTGCTGGGGAAAGCAGAGCCACGGGGCAGGGCCCCCTCACCAGCCTGTTCTCCAATTGAAACTCAGTGTAAAAACAGGTATTTACCAAGTTTCTTATAATAATCCTCCCATGCCTTGGTGAATTCCACCTGGCCTGAGTACCATTGTGATCAGCAGAAAAGCAAGCAGTGGTGTGTGCTTAAAGCACTGCGTTCTCTCGTCTGTCCTCTCTTCTTACAAAGACTGCCTTCAGTGTGCCTGCCTACCAACAGGAGCATGGAGGACCCTAAGTAAACATGAAACCAGTGAGCTGACGTTTTCCATCACGTTCAACAGCAGAAACTGAACATTTGCCCCCAGAACACATCTGATGGCACAAACCCCACACAGGGAAATGACCACTGCAGGGCCGGATGCTTCACGGCTTCTGGGAACCACCACCAATCTCACAAATGCACTGCAGAGCAGCTGCCAGTGGGACAAGCCACAGTGCTGGTAGTGGGGAACTCAAGGGATCTGGGCTTCTGACACCACTAAGCTCCAAGGCCAAGGGCTGTGAGCCCAAGACACAGCTCACAGATGTTATAAAATGAGAGATTATTTCTCCCAGTGCCTGATGGGGAGGGCAGGACACCTGAGGGAGGCAAGGAAGAAGATAAATTCGCAAGGTGAGTTTCTAAAGGCATCTCTGAAGGCAATTAGAAAAGCAGGTTTCATAAGCATTTATTCCAAGGCTTTACGTGAAGCTGAAAGTTAAGGTTTTTTTGTAGAGCTTTCCCTGCTGCATTTCTTCCTGCTCTGCCTCTCAGGAAGGCTCAGTGCTCTTGGGAGAGCACAAGGAAGGACGTGAGCAGTGATTTGTACTCTTTAACAGGCCAGTGGGAAAACTCTCCTTCTCAGCACCATACAACCCCACTCCGGTGGAAACAAGAATTCTTTCCAATCTCCTATCCTGAAGGCACAACTGCTGCTGATTTTCTGCCTGTCTCCAGAGCTCTACAGAGGAGCACTGATTTTTAAACTGCAATTCCTGAGGAGTAGAAGCCCTCTCCCAAAGACACTGTCTCAAAGTTTAACGCAAAGCCCCCCGTCCCATGCAGGGTTTCGCACGATGTCAAAAACACAGTGCTGAGGATTTCCAGATCTCAGATATGCACAAATTCATTTACATTAGATGTCAGCTGTGTCACAGGGAATCATAAATGCAGTTGCTGGCATTGTTACAGCAATTATTCTTCCATCTCAGACGCCTCAAAGAGAGGGAGTTTAAACTGAGCTTAAGCACCTACTTCATTGCTGAACCAGCCAGAGCACTGAAAGGCATCTCAGTGCATCACATGAGCTTTGAGATTAACAAGTCGACTAGGAATCTGCTCAAAGCATCAGACTGCTGAAGACAGGGAAATGCCATTACTGACAGACATCATCACTACAGCACTACGTCAGTTATTCTGAAACCTCATTCCAACTGGATGAATTTTGAACAGTTTTGTGAGGAAGTGGACACTTGGATCCCTGCAGAACAACAGCCAGTTTGATTCACTGTGTCAGGGGTCAAAGGACTAAGACCAGGAGCAGCAGTGATTTGGGTTCAGCTTCTGAACTCACTACTGCAGATATTTGTGCACTGTCACTTGTATCTTAATGCTAATATCTGGCTGGTCACACTCCATGCTTTCAGTGCTGCAGAAGCTGAGCAGTTATCAGGTCCCAGAAGGAAATAAGAGGACACCACTACAGCCAGTGTGAATGAAGCAGGATAGGAGCCACGCTTTTCTTCTCCACTTCCTGCATCTATTTCCCAGCCTTTCTGTCAGTATGGGAATTAGAAAGGAGCTCATAAAGAATGCGTACCAAAAAAAATATCAAGTACTGATAAGTTAAAAAGCAGAGAGATGGGAGGGCTCAGCACCAGACACTGTCTGCCTGTCAGGGAGAAGTGGGGATAGAGAGTGTTTGCCTGGAGAGTCCTCACAAGAGAAAGCTTAAGGCAGAAACGTTACAAAGTAGGTTTCTCCACAAAGGGAGCAGAAACAAGCAGGTAAGTGCACAAAAAGCATGACTGGTTTTGGTGAACTTGGGCTTATTCCAAGCTCTAACACCACCGCACACAAGTGGTCTTATGGCTCAATCTGTGTCTGGTGGCAAAGGGAACACCAGCCCTTCTCAAACCCAGGCCTTAACCACTTACTTGGGACTTGCTGTCCAGGCTGCTGCCACGTCTGGTAGGTACTGCCCCAACCCTGCGTCATGAACGCCTGAGGACCACTGCAGAGGATAAAAAGGCATGCTGAAGCAGACAATAAAATACTTAAGAGGAGATATGCATGAAGTCAGTCAAAGAAACAAAATTATTACTTCTAGTCAGCAACTGCTGAGCAAACAGGAACATGGAACAGAAGGAAACGTGTAGCTGCAGCTGCTAACTGCATGGAAATTGTCTGTTTGTGAAGTCAAGGACACGTGGTACTGAACAGCAAGTGAGGCTCCAGCTTCTTTCCACACTCACTGCACTGGAGACAGAAATACCTACCTTGTTTGCAATTCCATAGCTGAAATCCCTCCTGCAGTCAATCTTAAAGTTTTCAGCTCTCTCTTTAAAAGGCTGCACTTGCACACCACCCCCCCAATGCCCTCCATACCTCTCTCAAGACTTTTACAGCTCCCAGCCACTCCCCAGAACCCATCTGTGCCAAGATGCAGAAGCTTACTTTTGATGAGGTGTGGTGGGTGCTTGGTTGAAGGGGCTCTGACCAAATCCTCCAGGTCCACCCATGCTGGTACCCTGCCATGGAATCCAGAGATATTTAATGTCAGCTCTACACAGAGGGAGGACATAGTTAGCAGAGAGAAGACAGCCTGGGCTATGTTCCATTAAACCCCAGCTCCTGAAATGACTGATCTTCCAAGGACGAAGTTCTCAGGACTGTCAGCACACTTCAGGAGCTCAGCTTCAAAGGCAACCCTGGCCAGCCACAAAGGGGCTAACAGGACTCCAGCACAGCTGGAAGTTTTCCTCCGAATAGCTTGGAACCTGAGGCTGGTACCAAGCCCCCTCCTCTCAGGTAATTCAACACAAAGGTTGCTTTTCAGTTCTGCTATTCCCCAGTTCAGTATTATTCTTACTTCCTTTTACCCAAGTTTCTCCCTTCAGTAGTACTCTGGCCTGACATTATTAAGCTTCAATACCCCAGCACTGCATTAAGCAGAAGATAAACATCACCCTGGATTTGCTGGAGCAAGGAGCTCAGTGTTACTTTTAGGATTATGACGCCAAGATTATGTCATTTTCACACAGTAACACTGTAGTCTTCCTTTCAAAACCCCACTTGGCAGCCTCCTCAGCCTTAGCACAGTTGCATACTACACTTGATTATGTCAGCAGTCAGATCCTCCCAGGACCACAGCAAAAGTTAGTCCAATGGATGCTCAAGGGCCAAAGCTCAAGATGGCTGCTAACAGGCAAATGGTTTTGAAGTTAAATAGTGTTAAGAGTACACAGTGTTCCACTTCCACCCCATAAGTCCAGGCCTACACACACCTATGGGTGAAAACACTTCTGAAAGAGACAGATCAAAACCAACAGAGACGGGACTTACACCAACTTTCTCATCTATGAGATGCCTGGCGAGTTCAATTTGCTGGGGAACTCCTCTGATTGTGAATATTCGCACACCAGGGTCTGTGTTTGGAGGTGGGTTTCTCTGGAGCTCCACGTGAGCTCCTGACTGCTGATTTATGCTCTTGATGTTCTCACCACCTGAAGAGAAGAAAATCAAGGCAGGATATTCAGCATCTTTTTCCATAAAAGCATAACGACGTTTATGGCACACAGCCATTTAGATACAGCACAGCACTGCAGTGCCTCGAGCAGCACGGGGCAGCCTCAGCCAACACAGAGCCGATTTCCTGAAGACCTGCTAGCTCCCAGTCTCTTAATGAAATTTGCTTAACAAAAGCTTCAGCCAACACTACAATGGTTCGATTCTTCTTTTGGAAGCTGACACAACTTACAGACCAGCTCCACTCAACTGGAGAAATTAAAGGGTAACGGGAAGGAAAGGGCTTTGCAATTTTCAAATCACAAACCAAAGCTGCCAGCCTGAAGTACAGGCAGTAAGCAGGAAGGAAAGCAAAGTAAAGTAACCAGAGCTTTTTGTTCGCTTTTAATTAAAAGGAGTCTCTAAAAATCTCCTCAATTTTGCTCACATTTCCATCTCTATACATCCAGCACAACTTCAAAAACAAACTGTGGATGTTGCAGACACTTGTTCGTTTCATTGTAATGGACTCGTGACCTTTTTAACATTTTAAAGCCTTTCTGGGGAAGGGAGGAGGAAAAGTTGCCAAAGGGCAATTAACTCTTTCTAAATGAATTTTAGAAGATGCATTTAACAAAAGGTAGTCATGTCACATCCCTGAGCAGACAACAGGGATTGTACTGTGTAGCCAAAGCAAAGCCACTCGCTTTCAGACAAGAATGGGAAAGCCACAAAATCGAGCCTCAAATCCCCAACGTTGTATTTTATGCTTTTGTCAGATGCAGATTCACACCGAGCCCTCCTGCCCTTGTACATTAAGGCAGAATTTGAGCGAGCGATTACAGACAGACAGGAAGACAGGAAAATGGCACCCAAACACTTGAGATCACAAAGGAGTGGGACAACTTTCTAACTCGGGACAGTGGGGCACAGCTCACAGCTCACACAGCACACTACCACTATGTTTCCTCTTTCAAAAGTGAACTGAAATCCAAAGCATCCTCATCAGCCTGGAAGTGAGGAGAACGTCGATGCCGAGTTTTCTCTCTGCTCACCACCAAGCCGGTTGCTGCTGGGGCTGTTTCATCAGCTCCCTCCTGGGCCGTAGGAAGGATCCTGCAGGTTTGCTCTCCAGGTTTGGTGGCAGACTGCAAGCTCCCACCTCCCGTGTGTGCACTTCGGTGCCCTTTTTCTCCTCACCCTCCGTTCTGCTACATGCTCAGGTGCCCCCTCCCATCCCAAACTCCCCTAGTTTCCAGCACAGCGTGCAAAGTGACGCAGCCAAGACGATGCTGCAAGGGCTGGAAGGAGCTCATCTGCCCCCATAAAGCAGCGGCCGCTCGGCACATGGTGGCTGTCTGCAGCCGCATTCACAGCCCCGCTCCATTCTTCTACCTGATGGGGGGCAGAAGTGATCCAAGAGTGGCCCCCCAGCTGGACGTGAAATTGTAAAGCAATTAATCAAACCTGCTAAAAGGCAGAGCTGACAAGAGCCAGGCCAGCCACGTTATCTGTCAATATTGCTGTATTTATCATGGAAATCCAGCGGGGGCCCAGAGAGGCTGCGGTTTGTTTCCATGCACCACCAAGCAGAGAAAGCACTTGACATGTGTATGGTGCTTGTCTCCACCCTTCCTCGAGTCTTTCACAGAAGAAAAGCTGCACCTACCCACCCTCTAGAGGAAAAAGCTACGTACAGGATTTCCAGGGAGCCAGGAACTTCTTATCAGCTCCTAAAGACTCAAACTCCAAAGCAAAGAAGCAATCCTCATGGGAAAGGAGCCCACACGCTGTTCGGACCAAGCTATGGCAAACTTCCCCATCCCTCTTCTCCCTGCTTCTGCAGTGCTGACACGAAGCTGGAAGCACAGCAGCAGTTACCTGGCCACATCTGATACACTGCATCCAGGGGCCCAAGGTAAATAAATAACCACTGCTCAGGTGCTGTGTGTGCCCACAGAACCTGGCTGGATTGTACAGAGGGCTAACAGCCAAGCTCTGTGCCACAGCAAAAACACACACAAACACTACCAGCTAGAAACTGCCCAGAAACTAAAACAGGGCTGAGCAAAGATGTTGCTATTGGTGACTGTTTAAACCCCCAAATTAACATCCCCTCTGCCTTATAATGCCCCACAGGCAGCGGAAGAAGAAACAAGAAGAATCAGACAATCTCTTGCTTCAGCAAATGGAGACTGCAGTGCATCCATCCAAACCCAGACCCCAAAAGGCAATGCTACAGCCATCACTCACTTGACAAAAAAATGAATGCTGCAACAGTATTTAAGAGCACAGGCACTGTAAGAGCACCGACTGCAAAGCTACAAGCATTCAAATCACCATACAACTAGTAATTAGTCACTGCAGAAAGCTTCTGATCTGGCTGGGCAAGAATCCTCGTTTAGCTGTTGTGGAAACAAAGGTAAAAAGCCACCTTTCACCCTCACAGCGAGCCCGTGCCGGGCCTTGCACTTGAATGCTAGGACATCTAACTCCACTACCTGCATTTATCTTTTCAGCACATGCTCTCTGTAGTCACAAATGCTCCACTTCAGTGCACTGCTGAACAACAAGTGACCTTTTCTGTTCCTTTATTAAGGATGACTAATGGATACAGCAATAAAGTTTCATTATAATTTGATTTTTCCATATATATAGCTCTCACTCGTGGGCTTAAAATTTGCTTTGCTTGATCTTTACCCAGCTGGACTATTCACTGAGATAAAGTGCAATCACTCTGCAATATCTGCATAATGGGGAAGAGTCATACTGAAAAAGTTTTCTGGCTTGTGAGCAGGTTTACAGCAAAGAAAAACATCTGAAACACACCTGACATGCCTGAGTTGCATACCTGTGCCCCTAGTCACCCAATTATAAAGCATTCAGGGGCCAGAGGGGGAACAGGTGAGGTGCAGCAGGGCTGTGTGGCAAGAGATGGCAAGCTCACTCCTGCCCATCAGGATGGAAGGGAACTAAGTGCCACTGAAACATGGCACAGTGCCCTCATGCCTTTGCCTCCTTTACTGTGGCAGCTAATCTGCTCCTATTCTGTGCGTCTCACCTCTGCTGACACTAAAAGCCAACTGTGACTACTTAAATGCTGGTTTAGGCATATGCCATTCTTCCTGAAATAAGCAGACAAAAAATTAAATACAATTCCGTTGATATGTCAGTGTCTTAACTCAAAAGCACTGTAAGAATTCAGAACAACAGAGCTATTCCTGGCTCTCATTTCCTTACTGGCATTACCTGATGCTCTACAACAACTGCTGCAGATGCTCTGGTTTTATGAGTGACTTGGCAGCACACAGGTTCCTCAGAGAAAGGCCAGGTGCCTCGCCTGTGTGCTTTGCATGGAGCAATTCAATGGCTTAGGAAGCAACATACACTCCTCTGAGCAAGAAGAGGTGCAGATCAGGCAGGGCACCAGGCTGCTCTGCACCAGTCCCACATGTCAGCTGCGACACAGACAAACCTGCTCCTTTGCTTTACTCATCACACAACTCAGGTTCATGGCTGGAAGCAGCTACAGTCATTACCACATTCATGTATCTTTCATTTTACTACATTGCACCCACAGAAATGCCGCATGCCAAAATGACTGTCCTGCTTGTCCCTGACAAACTGCCTTTTAAATGAGTTTCTTTAAAAAAGGATCTGCAAATGAAACTCCTTTTCTCAGCCAGCTGCTTGTTGTAACAGGCTTGCCTGTCAGCTCTGCATGAACAGCCTTCCTCACATATTGTGAACAAGGGCCTGGAGAGTCCAACGATGATTGAGAACACCACAAGGTAAACAACAGAGAGAGCTTCCAGCTTACTCCTGCGCTGCACTCACCGGCCACTAAATAACTGCACTCATAAAAAACTGCCAGGCAGACTGAAAAATTGGAAGCTTGAGCATTGAGTGTCAGCAGACCTACCTTTGCCTATAACGAGGCCACACTTGTCAGCTGGCACCGTGTAGGTGATTTCCTGCATGCCCCCAGGGGTTCCAACACTCCAGTCCCCACGGCCACGACCTCTTCCCCGGGCTACAGCCAAGCTTCCAAAGCCATCTCGTTCCTTGGAAGGCAAAGAATTTCTGTCAGTGGTTTGTTGGTTTTTTGTTTTGCTTGCCTCAATACACATTAGAAACAAAAATAAAGGAAGTTAAACTGCATTGTAATCAATGGCACTGAATTAAGATATTCTTGGACTTTCACGTTCAAGACTTAGGAGCAATTTAAAGCAATGCCAGGGACGTGGGCTACGGCTGCCTTCCTGACTCAGGAAGATAAAACCCTTTTTTAAAATGCGTGCCTTTGTATCTGCTGAAATAAGCCTATAAACAAGCATCAGCTGCTTTTACTTAGTGATGGGAGGTTTGCTTAGAACAACCAATAATAGATCTTGGCACCGACATATGCACAAGTTAGCATCCAAACTCTTTCCAGTGTCATTCTTTAAAGAACTTCTGGAACTACTCAGCTGAAAGGCACAATTTCCAGAAATTCCAAAGGAAGCTTTTAAGCTCAAAGACACTTAAAGGACATACCGAGTTCAGATAACTAACTTCTCCTGAAGTAAAGGCCATAGGCAGCCAAAGGCTACCAGGACAGATCTCAAAAAATCTTACACAAGTATTCAAACCAAATCTCAAGGCAAAAAGAGAAAACAAGATTGAACCTTAATTGAGAAATTAGACCGTTCCAAACCTGATAATTACACACAATCTATTTACCTCCTAATAAAAAGGGAATATGCAACCTTTTCCACATGAGCTTGCCCTACTGCCTCGCTCATCTCCACTCTTCTTGCTCCAGGACAATGCAGTATGTTTGTGTCTAAGAAAACAGTAACTGCATACGTGAAAGTTTTTCACCTTCCGCTGCCTCCCACAGCCACCAGGCTTGAGGACCAGAGACTGGAGAGGTGGCAAAGGAGGTGCTGTGAGCACTGAGAACGCTCTGCTGCCCAGAGTGCTACTCAGTCCTTCTGAGCAGAGCCTCCAGCCTCTGTCTCTCTGTAATGCTGGACTACGGTCCATTAGGTCACCATTTTCAAGTAGCTTTGAAAAACAGCTCAACATAGAACTACAACAAAGCCTATTGATACTGCCTCAGAACAGGATACCCTCCCATAGCTCAATCAGCCCTGGTCACAATTAAAAAAACAAACAAACAAACAAAAAAATCAAACCAGCAGCTCTCTCCTTGGCCTACAAGAAGAAAAACTGAACACTGACGTTCTTCATCCACACAGCTGCATGCACAGACATTCTCCTATAAGCACTTTCCTCCCAGGAGCTTCCAGAACCCACCTGTGCTGTTAGAATAAGCTCACTGATGATGTGTGCTGCATGTTGACACCTATCAGGAAGCCCCATGACCTGTGCGACTCTTTCAGGACTAATCCCATCATCTGTGAAGAGAAGTGGCAAAGACTAAATTAAAAGAAGAAAATATCCACCCACCAACAAAAGCTTCCTTCCAGCACCACCACTGCCAGCAGCACTTTCATATAACACATCTAGCCCAAACTCTCTCGCCCCTCCACCTTCAGCCACACTTCCACATACTGAAAGGAGACAAAATCTCATTGCAGAGGGGACAGCATTTAAAAGACAACACTTTCAAATGTCAAAAAGTCATGAGAGAGATTGATATAATTTTAAGAGGACAAAGGCAGCTTTGATAGGTGATCAGACAGCCAAGGACCCAGAGAAAGTTACTTAGAATTAATCAACTCCTGATCTCCAAAGGCTTTCATGCCCTGAAGGAGAACTCCTTAACAGGAAACAGAAGTGTTATTTTGTTTGCCCATACAGTTACCATTCAAGACATTATTGTTGTGACATCTAATGTTTGTAAGTAAGACGTATATAATCTTACTTTCTGAACAACAGAAAGTGCACGAGGAACAAGTATGTCATTAAACAGCTTACAGAAAGAGACAATGCACCTTAAGTGAGGAAAGCTTAGCTGCTGTAACCTCAGAGCAGAATCACTGCAGCGATCTCAAACTGTGGTCAGAAAGCAATGGCTCTCCATCCTCACACAAACCTGGTTTAAATTGAATCCTAACTCCAGCATCATTCTGAATCTTTTTGATCATTTCTCCATTTCTTCCTATTACAATTCCAACAGCAAACCTGGGCACAGAGACCTGATGGGAAAGGCAAAGCAGTATGAAAGCTCAGAACTAGACTGAGTTACTCTGATTTAACAAGGAGATGGGCCATGTTAAGCAGCTCCAGGCTACACAAAGATATTCTGTAAGAAAAACAAACATGTGGCCACAAATTCCTTCCCCACTAAATGAACTCTGAGCTACAAGAATGCAACTTCAAACGACAATTAGAAAAGTGCCATCTGGGAGTCCATGAGAACTCCACTTCGCAGCCAGACTCACTTTTCTGGCAACAGAAAACAATGCATTTAAAAGAAGCTTACAGGTTACACATGAAACTTGAGGACTTCCACCCACTGCCCGTCCCACAGGGAGGTTAGCAGAGTACTTGTGAAGAAAACATACCTCTATGCTGCCTCCTCCCATTCTAGAACTGAAATCATTGCGTACGCCTCGGAAGTCTGCCTGATCTTTCTCTCGGATGATCTCCAGTACCATTTCCCTTGCTTGCTACATGGGGAAAGAAGTTACAGTTAGCTTAAAATATTCTGCTCGCCATCTCGGCGTTAGGGCCTCGATAGTGGCTAATTGACCACTGTCAGAGGAGATCTGCTTTCATCAGATGTGGAAGATGTCAGAGTCTGCCAGGTGCACGAGGCAGCAGTTTCTTTGTGCAATTGTGTACCTCAGTCTTTCAAAAGAGAGCTTTTGCTTTTAAAACAATCACTTTGTCCCCACCTTTTTTTTTTTTTTTTTAATTTAATTGAAGGAAGATCCTCTCCTACTGGATAGAGCTGAAACCAACAGTACAGCAGATGCTCTGGCAGCACAGTAGTCAGCATGTCTGCCAAAAGGCAGAGAGCACGTACAAGAAGGCAGGAGAGCAGCAGCCAGCTTACTGACACTCAAAGTTACACTCGAGTCTGCAGCAATCCAGCAAGGTTTTTGTGTGTGTGTGAAACAAATGCGTGTTCTTCCTATCTACTTGCAGCTCTCCAGGCCTTTCACAAACTTGCATGTATGCCCAGCCAGTAAAAACCATTCCTTGGAAATAAGCCAGCAGTAAGTCACCATTAAAAAAAAAAAAGACTGCCTGTCAAAGCCTGTACCACTGTTTCTGTCAAGGTTCAGATGCTTGGGTTCGATTTGAAAGTTTGAGGGACGCTGGCAAATCTGCCTCCTTTCCTATTCTTATGTATTTTCCATGTCCCCAGAGCATTTATTACAGAAATGGACAACTCAAGATACTTCAGAGATGCTAAGATAGAAACAAGGGCAATGGAGGTATTGCCTAGCGATGTGAGATAGTTAAGAACTCTGCACTTTGCAGCATGCAGAGATTCCCACCAAAACCAAGGACTCAATGAGCTTCCACAGTGCATTCTAAGTGTGCTGAACTTTAAATGCCTCAAAGATCTTCCAGTTTATGAAGCCTTCACAACTGCTTGCCATGATTTATGGCACAGAAGATGCGACGACAGCAAATGTTGCAAGGCAGAAGGAACCATCTGGAAAGCCTCAGCACTCACAGTATGACTTGGTTAAAAGCAGCAAGAATCTCATTAAACTTTCTACATGTTTATACCTTTGCAATAAGTATAAGAACTGTGGAAATCAATACAACTGGGCTTTAGATTTAACTAATAAGTGGCCTGAAAAATTCTCTCCAAACATACCTGACCAGCATCAATTGTTACAGCAGTTTATGATTAGGAAGATCTAATGAAACAGAACTACTTTTATTAGAGACAGGAATGCTAAGCCAGATTTAAGTATCCAGCAAGGTATGAAAGGCACTTGCTGGGAAGTGGAACGTGCCACACCTAAACTTTAAATCAAGAGCTCCTATCATGCTGCAATCTTCCGAGCTCTGCAGGATCATGGGTTTTTGCTTTGAAACCACAACACGACTGTATCTGCAGAAGCCTGACACAAGGAGGATGACCCATCAGCATTAAGTAAACCCCTTGGTTTCAGGAGTTGTAGTTTTTACTCTTTTATTTTTTTCTACTTTTAATTACCTGCGTCAGTTGGCTGTCTGAGATATTGAGCCTTCCACAAAACTTTCTCAAACGTCTGCTTATTTGGTCACTGCGAACCCAACTGCTTAAATAACATGCAGCTGGGACTTGTGCTTCAGGACTGGAAAGTTTTTCCACTCTACCTTCTCCAAACCTTCCTGCTTAGCTCTTCTACCCAGGTCTAATATCCACATGTAGTGAGAGCCCCCAGGTCATACTGTAAACTGGCCAATACTCGCTAGTCCTTTGTTCTGACTCGTTCTATCAAACTTTGACTTTGCAGAACAAAACCAGCAGGGAACATAGCATTTATGATGGATTTATAAAGGATTCGACTCCATTAGATGTCCACAAATACATTTCAACTTCCCCCCAACACTCTGGGGCAACTGCTTACTTTTATTACATACCTGCACTTTAAATGCATCTCCAGTAATACGGAGAGGTTTATCTGCTCCAGTAGGCATTGGACCATCTTGGATCATTATCATTTTCACACCTGTTCGCTCCTGCAGAAAAAGCACAGAGCACTTTGCTAAGCAGAGTCTCTAAAACAAGGGACTACTTTTGGTTACTAGACATTAGGTAGGTCACGTTAGCAGCTTGGCAGAACACTACCGTAGCTCTTCACAAGTACTTAGAACACAAATTGAGTAACAGTCCCAGAGTGCAAAGGACTGCCAGGAAGTGTGCTACTCCTGATGATCCTAAATAGGTGAATCTCTTGCAAAAACAGAACTCTACCTTGGCAACTCAAGCCCTTTCCAAAATCTGTAGCTGTCCACACATAGCAGTTACGTGACCAGCCTTAAAACTACTGGATGGCAGAGGGCAACCAAAAAACCTGCGTTTTTGACCCAGGTTCCCTTCTGGAACCCTCTATCCTTTAAAAACTTGTACAGGATGTCAGCATAAAGAATGTCTAGGAACATGGATTTATACATAACAAAACACTTAATTAGAAAGGGTGGGATGAGGAAAAAAAGGAAGACAAATGCCAGCTTTATCACAGATCAACAACAAAGGAGAAGCAGAGCACTCTACAACAGCATGGCTGGCATTAAAAACTATTGCAGCAGCAGACTAGAGATAGACTTTTCTTGTCTAAGGGGTCCCATCCTGAACAGCACGCACCAAATGCTATCTAAAGCACGAGGTTTTTTCCCCACAGTTCTGTGGAAATTCCACTGCATGTGTAGCTGGGGCTAAACCGGTTTTTTTTCTGCAACACAAGGTTGGGTCCAGCTTTCCGAAGGCAGAAGAGTAGTCCCTGCTGTAGAAGGTTAGAGCATTTATAGGCTCTCCATTTCAGCACGCTCTTGTTGATCTAGAGAAGCTGCAGTAGGGAAGAGAGCCCTAAAGTAAATGCATCTTGCGCACCTGCAACTGTTTTATTGTTTCACCTCCTTTGCCGATGACTAGACCCACTTTGGATGCCGGGATCAAAATCTCCTGAATCGTACTGTTGCCATCAACATCGTTGTGAAAACCAGGTCCGTTCCGACAGCGATCTACAATCTGCCCCAGTAGCCGTTTTGCTTGTCTTGGAAAAGAATCGAGGGAAACAACCATTAGACAACATTGTTCCGTGTGACCAAGAGACTTGGAACCATTGGAATGTGAAGCAATCGGGGAGAGAAGTGAAAAGATGAAGGAAACCAGTTAGCACAACTTTATTTTGGGGGGAGAGGGCGGTATCCAATTTCCCCTGTCATGATTACTTATAAGCAGCTTGATTTTTCGTAAGGGGAAGAGAAAAGGAAGAGCAGCAGCATGCTCCAACATCTTTGGAAGTTAAGGAGCTGTTACAAGTGGGGTGCACAATTTGAATGAAGATGCTCTACACCCTGAACTTCTCTAAACTTATTTCCCCCATGTATATGTAATATTTGGCAAAAACAAAACACCCTCAAGCTCTGTTCTCCTTCTTGATCAAGACAAAACAGATGGTGCTTCAATACTAACACAGCACATTGGTGAACCACTCCGATCCCTCACAGACAATGCCTTGCTCTTCTCTGCCCACCCTCACCAGCAGCACCACAACACTGCTCTAACACAGCCTCTGCCCCAAGCAGCAGGTGCTAAAGCTACACCAGGAAGCAAGGCAAGGACACCATAGCAGCAACCAGTGGAAGACTGGGTTCTTCTACTCATGAAAAGAGACAGACACAAAAAGCAAAGATATCTTCTCTTTTTAGCACGTCAGAAGTAGCTGATACATCTTCCCTTCATCACAAGGACTGCTGTTACCAACACATCCCTTTCCTTCCCTTTTCCAACAACACTTCTCAAACAGGTAGAAGAAAGCCACCAGCTCCCTGCTCAGTCTAAAGCAGAGTCTTCCCCACTTCATACTCAGGCACCGCACATGGATGGTCTTCTCTCTAAAAACTTGAAGAAATGGCATGAAACCATCCGTTGCAAGCAGGCATTCACTCAAGACAGTTCAAGGGATGGTGATCTGAGCCTGCACAAAGATCAGAGTGCTGCCCTCTCTCAACTTTCTCACAAAACAAGGCAAAAGGTGGAATTTCTGGAAGCCTGATTCAAATACTGAGAGATTCGGAAAGCTTTATTCTTTTATCTTGACATTCTGCATAAAGTGTGACAACAGAGATTACAACATTCAATACACCACGCATATCGGATGAGAAGAGGTCACTGGGAAATTAGCTCTATTAGTTTGCCTCCAGATATAACTAAAGGAAATAATCCTCACACAAAACCAATCTAAATATCTACTGTTTTTGAAGTGTTGTCTCACTTCAGATAATTTTTCCTATGAGTAACCTGAAAAAATAGTTCAAAGCTAACTCGACAACGATTTCAGCACAGAAGCAAACAAAATTTCACTTAGTTCCACATCCTTAACACATTGCTCTGCTCCAAAAATTGCGTATTCTCACCTTTCCTGTTATTTTATTTTGATTTAAAGACATTTAACTGCATGTTTCTGAATAATGAGGTCTTCGCTGTACCTCTCCCCCAATCAGCACCAGCTGCATTTTATTGGGCATCCCAGTTTTGTTTTAATATTTTGCTATTGTTCTGAAATATCTTTTAGCAAAGGGAGAAAAAGCACTTCAGTATCAGCAAGAATACATCACCTGCCCTGTAATGTGAGCTTACCAACTGTATTTATTCTGGCTCACCACTTGCATCATTATGGTAGAGTACGAAGATTTAAGTACCCTTAGATCTCTTAGGAATGGAAGGATGATGGTTGTCTTCTCTTTAGAGAGACATCTTTGCGCCCATGTATTTTCACTATCAAATGCAACTCAAAGATTTCCAGATGGATTTTAAAAAACCCACCTACCCAAAGGCTGGGGAGAGAAAGAGCAGCTCCATATGTTAAGTGTGTTCCTGTAAGCCTGAGGATCCTGGATCCAGTTCCAGCAGAAGGTCCTCAACTGGTTTGTGAGAGTCTCAAACTCAGCTCCTGGGAAGGGGGAGGGAGGAAACACTGTCCCTAAAGTTTCTATAGGCCTAAAGAGTAGAAACCCCTGCTGGCTAGCCATGTGTCTGTACCATGCAGGGATCAGAATTCAAGAATTTCTGGTTCAGTCCTTTGCTTCTTGTTGGCAGCAGTGCAGAGGCAAGCACACCCATGGGCCTTGTGCTGCTCTGCAGCAACACCAACACCTCCAGGTATCTCTGGAGTGGCACCAACAGGCTTTGGAGGCCTCATGCAGACCTTCTTCAGCTGCAAGGACGTCAGCTCAATAGGAGGGAAGCGAAGGGGAGAAGAGAAGTGCCCTTCAACAGCTTAGCTAAATATTCTGGAAAGCTGCAGCTCAAAAACTGCATTCTAGGTGCCCTAGGAGCAACCTTGCCCTGCGGAGGGGAATTCCATGGACAATTCTGCAGAGGGTTCAAACTGAAACTGGAAAAAAGCCTTTGAGGCACAGTTCAAAGCATCAGACCAAGAGGCTCTGTGTTCCAGGACCCTCAAGTTTCTCTAGGCCAACATTTGCTGGTGTGGCTAACCAAGTAGCACCACTGACAGAGCACAGCATTAGGGAAAAGAGAAAAGGAGAAAGGAGAAGAATAAAATTAGAACTCACTCAATGCTCTCTGGCGTCCCGGTGAGCACACAGGGCCTCTCAGGCATCCCACCACTGTCTGCAAAGGAAAGAAGACAACAGAGATCGGATGCTTCCCAACTCTTAGCACCTGAACTGCCCTCAGTTGTCAGGCAGGCAGAAAAGTGCTGACTCCTCACACAGGCTAGAAGCTAAAAAATAATAATAATAATAATGTCCTACATTAATACTCAGAACTAAAATGGCAGCAGTTTCAGTGAGTATCGAGTACTAATGAAAACGTTCCCCTCTGCACACAGAGCAGGAGACATCCAGGGTCAATATATTTTAAAATGATCTGCTGGATATCTGTATTATTTTAAAGCCTTCCCCACCAATTAAAGGCAAGCTTAAAACCTAGATTGCATTCATCAAACAGTATCCTGCACAGCACTTGTAGTACAGCCTTCCCCAAAGCAAACAGGCTGCAGCACTAGCAGAGCAAACGGCACACTCCCATTTTTTTTTCAATGCAAGGCAAATTGTATGAAGAAGTGCTGCCACCCTCCTGAAATGTTTTCTGCCAGGAGCTGGAGCAGAGTGGACTGATCAGAGCTACATTGCATGAGCTGAGCTAAATGGCACTGCCAGGAGAAGACTAAGCAGAAGCGATCTCTTCTTTAAAAGCATGGATCATCCATTTGCACCGTACCCATCTGCTGGTTAAAGACAGTTCCTTAACTATTCAATTCCCTAAACCACCCGACAAACCTGTTTTCTCAGGGAGCCCAGTCCTACAACAGCCCTCCCAACACGTCAGCCTACTATATAATGCATTACCACCATTCACAAATGATGACCAAGGCACCTGATTCAACGGACACGACATTCTCCAACACTAAAACCTGCTCACCCACCACAAATGAGGCTCTTACCTGGAGCAATTTGAATTTTGCAGCCAGACTCGATCTGAATCCGTGAGATCTGCTCACCTCCCCTGCCGATTACTGAAATGAGTTCAACAAGCATCAGCTGCTTATCCCAAAAAACTGCAGAGCAACTTCCACCCTTCTACTCCGTTGCAGCTCTCTATAAAGGTACAATTTGACTACAGGATTGTAGAAGAGGCATCCATAGTATGATTACATTTAAAAAACAAATCAAAACAAAGCAATCAAAAAGGAAACCGATAAAAAAAACCCAACCACTTTGTCTTGCATTGGAATGGAGATAAGAAAGGAGGTAAGATAGAAGGTGCAAGTCTGAGCACTGCTGGGAGTCATCTAGGTGTATTTCAGCCCAAACAAATAAACCAGTTATTTGAGAACCTAGAAAAGCTAAGGACTTCTGCTTTGCTCTCTTTAAAATTCGTGTTTTACTACCTCGTTTCAAAAGACATGCTATTTATCCAGTCTGCTCAGAACTGCTATACACCAAAATGCTCTATCAAACCTTAAGGAAAACAAATACCCATCTCCCTTAACATTTAGGGTCAGCAAACAGTTGTTTCACAAACAGACACACTGAGGAGAAACAGTGTGTGCCAATCACAACTCCTATCCTTTAAAAGAGCAGAACTGTCAAGTCAGACAGGTATGCCTGGCTCAAGGTGCTCCTGCAGAAGAACCTCCCAGCTCTCCCTGGAGGTGTTCAAGGCCAGGTTGGATGGGGCCCTGGGCAGCCTGGTCTAGTATTAAACGTGGAGGTTGGTGGCCCTGCCTGTGGTCCTCGAGGTCCCCTCCAACCCAAGCCTAAGCCATTCTATGATTTATGAATCAGATCCTCTCTCCCACACCTGGCTGCTGCTGAACCAGGATTGTATGGAATACACAGCTGATGCACCAATATGCAGGGTCCCATCTCATCCAGCTGTAGAACCCCTCTGACTTCCCTTCCTCCACACATGTGGTACCAGGATGGATAAATAGAAAAGGTTGGCAGAAGGACAGATTTCCTTCTCGTGAATTCCAGTGTTACAGTTACTGCCCTAAGGGGTAATTACTGGGGCTGCTAATTTCTTTTTTACTCTCTGTATACCAAATTGGGAGAGATACACAGATACCTAACAGGGGAAGAGTAAATGCAATCTCTGCAGTCACAACAGCAGGAGGGCGCCATTGAAAGAAAGAGTAATGATCATCAAAAGGAAGGGAGGAATTAAAATAAAGCTTAGAAGAGAACAGCACCAAGAACACAAGTCTAGGGAAAAAAGCTCAGCTGAGCAACGCATACTGGCTGTGTTCCCCTGCAGCAAAGGTATGAAAAATTTAAAATTCTGCTTATCTCACCTTGAATCAAGCCTTGTTTTAACATTTAAATATTGTTTTCCTCCCTCACCTCCCACACTTCTGCATACTCAAAAGGAAAGTGATTCAACGAGGGGAAATTAATTTGCTTTTGATATATTTATGTAGCTTGTTATTTGACATTTCAGGAACAGAAGCACTAGAGTTCTCAGTAGCCTGCACCATGCAGACTTGTTCTCATTACTGGGACACCAAGCTTTTCCATGCCATTTGCACATGGATTTTAAATGCAGATGATGTGGTCCCCACAAAGCATCAGACAAGACTCACCCAAGGCTAGAAAGCACAAAAACTTGTGAGCATGTCTTATCCTAGCAGAACATGCAGCATTCTTGCACAGAAGAACCATACCAAAAGCATGCAAGGTACTTACTGAATCCAACCATTTTATCAGGCACTTTAAAATCTTCTGTTATTACAGCCCTGAAAGGAAAGGAAGAAAAAAACCAAAAAAATCGAATGGTCATTACAACAAACAACTCAGAAGATGACAGAAGATGTTGTGCTGTGGAAACAAGGCACAGCATAAAGCTACTGCACACAGAGAAGTAAATACTACATCAAATTAAAACTGTTTTGGAAGAGACCTTTAGGCCCTGCTCCGTGCCCTGGCTGCAGAGACAACACACCTCATTTCTCCTGCACTGGATGTATTTCTACTCTACTGATATCCTCAACGGAAGAACCTTTTTGTCATTCGTGCTCCAGACAGATTTAAGAGAAAAGCAGCAAAGTTCCTTCAATGTTTAGACTGACAGCTTCGAAGCCGTAGCCTCTGCCTGCTGCTTTCTGATACGCTCTTGCCAGGAGACACTAACCAATGCCAATGCTGGTTGGAATGCTCCTTCTGATACTCAAATTTACTTTCTTGCCTGCCTGTACTTATGGTTCTTTTCCTTGGAATTTACAACAGCTGTCTCTGATCATCTTTACCATCTCAAGATTTCCCTATCTGTTGCTCTTTGGACTTTTTCAGCACATCTGTGCCTCAACACATGAGCACCCAAAGCAATTTCCTAAGACCTGACTACAGTGAAGCACAGAAGAAATTCCTTGTGGGACTTTTGTTTGCCATTTCTATTTCATATAAAAGAACAATAAATACAGAACTTGCAAACCCTGTATGCTGCCATATGCATTTCACACAGTTTGTACAGCAGTCTCAAAAGCAGTGCATAATTCCCTGCACAACCATCACTGCTGGCAGAACAGAGGTGGCAGACAGCAGCAGAGCAGACAACGCTGCCCACGAATTGCAGGCAGCCCTACTGAGAAATCCACTCCTGTATTTGATGCTAAGAGATGCTGTGCAATAACTTTCATTTGCTTTGGTCTCCTCAAAACATCTTTGACAATCAAAGGAATCATCCCAGGTCACCTTACATTAACAAACCCAGGAAAAAAAAATATATACATGTGTACACATAAATAAAAACCCACCTGCTTGTTTAACATTTTCAAACTCTGTCAAAGTGCCAGTTTGCCCTTTTTTTTTTCCCCCATCCCTTTCCTTCCCACTGGGCAGGAGAAGGAAAAGGAGATAATTTATTCTGCTTGGTCCTGCAGAGCTACAGGAATCAAATCCAAGTTTTACTTCAACTCTTCTTTTCTCCTAACAACAACAAATAGCTTTTAAAGGGTTAGCAGAAGCCTTAGCCTGCAGAAAACCCAAGCTGACAATTTCTCCACATTCCCAACCTCTGACTTCCTAACACTACTACAGATGGTGGATCAATAAACAATTAGAATTGATCAATAAATAATAAAACATAACCCACTGCTTACCTTTGATGTACCAGGGCCCCTAACTGGTTACCTACTGTGGCAGAGAGAGAAAAAAGGAAAAGAAAAAAATCAAAGCATTAGCACGGATAAACTAACTTCATCCCTATAGAAAAAGAGTTCTTACCATTTCATCAAAAAAGAAAGAAAAGCAAAACAGTAATTTAGGTTCAGCAGCTGAAATGAATGCATTATGGGGTACAAAACAGGAGGGGATTTCTTGATCAGCACACACCATAACCCAGTGTCCAGCTGAACACAGGATAGGGAATTGATCTGCGTCTCCCCATGCTGAGAGTCATGGGAGAAAATCCTGCCTGCCCAAATCCAAATCCCCACAACTCACCTCCCTCCTTCCCAATTTAAACCCAACGTGAAAAAAGAGAAAGGGGGAGAGGTGGGACTGCAAGGGGAGAAAAGACATGTCAAGTGCTCCGTATGTACCACAAACAAACATAAAGGCTGAGCAGATTCGGAGATTTAGTCTAGGCAAAAAGCACTGAAGATGGCTCGCACATACTTCTCTCTGTATCTCTTATCTGTGCTCCATGGAGCCCACTTACACGGAGACCTGTTAAAGGAAGAAGTCTGTTCAGAACCCTCGTGGCACCCAAACTGTACTTTTTTCCCCCTCGCGTTTGACTGAACATTCCAGGCATATCTGTGATGTCAGCTGGCAGCCCGTTACCATTAGCTGTTATCTCCCAGCTGACAGCCCTCAGACAGACTTGTTCCCCCCCAGCCCCCACAGATTAGATCTTTCTTCCAAACGTTAATGGGGAAAATATCATTAGACCAACTCATGCAAAGTGGGAACACATGCCCTGCTGGGCTTCCTACAGGACTTTGCCCGCAGCAAACCGGCTAAAAACCAGACCATTTGGTCCTAACAACCAGTTGCAGATTATATTGCATGCCTGGAGGGCACGAGCAGCGAGAAACAAATGGAACTGGCCAACGACACGTGAGCCGTGATAATAAAAACGCTGTTTCAAACTACCTTACAGCAACCTGCACATTCTCTGACCTGAAATAAATTGGCAATCAGCTGTCAGGGTTACACAGCGGATGCATCCCAAGCACACAGAATCCGGTAGGGAAAAAAAAAACCCACACAAAGTTTCTGGCCAAACACTCCAATAAAGCAGACAAAGAGAGTCAATATCCTATTTCTGCGGTGCGTCAATATCTCGATAATAGTTCAGGACCAAAATATCGACCATATATGTTTTATTACTCTCTCCAGCTCAGCGATAAGACAACTGTTGCGTTATTGATGCTGTTAGATTCGCTTTTGCATATTCTCACCCCGAATATAAAAAGCTCTAATTTGATAACTATCAACGCCGCAGCTGAAAAAGGTGGGTGATGTAATGGGGGATATTTGCTCTTGCTGATAAGCTGCCGCAGCAGAGTTGAGCAAATGTGATCAAACGAATCCAGAATCTCACCACCCTGCCCCTACCAGCACTCAGGTGTATCTCTGCCAAAAGCAATAGGTCTGCAGGACAGGACCAGGCCACTCAGCACCCCCACATGTGGGAAGAAGTGCTCCTAGCACTCAGCAGTATTTAAACAGCCACTTTGCATTTGGATTCACCTCAGCAGATCTCTTTGCAGTCTCTTACACTGCAGTTGCTGCCCACAAATTATGAGACAGATATGCATCCTATAATCACATCCCAAAGTTCATGCAAGGAACAGAAGAGCCATCATTTCACAACACCAGAGACAGCTTCCTAGAGGAAAACTGTGCAAGCACAAGAAGCTAATCAGACAGATAGATTTCATGCCTACTTTATATATATTTATTGTACCAATTAGATAAAAGCAAACAAAGCCCCAGTAATTAAAGGAGGACACCATTCCCTCTGCACACAGCCTCCAGGAGCTGTGAAGCAGAGCAGGCAGAGAAAGCTGGGGTGACTTGCTTTAAGGCAGATACGATTTCTCCCCATTTGCAGGGAAAACAGAAATCTTATCCTAAGAATAGCTCCTCATCCCAACAATCTGAAGGTTTGATTTCTCCCTTAAAATGCCCATTTTGCTATGAAAGATGAAGCTAATAGAGAGGCAGGGCAGCAGATGCCTGCTGCAGCACCAAAGCTGCCATCCCGCTCCCCCACCTCCCTCTTGCTGGGGAGCGGGCTGAACTCTGACAAACCACGTCCACATTTCCCCCTTTTTACACCTATTGAGTACAATTTAACTGTAACTGCAGTCATTTTACTGCAAACAAGGAAAAATACTGAATAAAATAAGCACAATTTCCCGTTAATGGCACCCGCTGGTTGATAACTCTTCACTCTTCTTTAGGCTTCACCTTTAACTGAATTCTACCTAACAGACACTCTAAACAAATGCAGATTTTTTTCCACCCCACAGAACAGATCAGTGCCTCCCACTAAATTAACGTGCACGATAGGAATATACAATGTCATTGAGGATATCCTCATGGCTGGAACAAAACCAGACGCTCCTGGAAAGTGGTGGAAAGGGGCTGCATTTCGCACTTCTGAACCAGAATTGGATCATCACAAATTTCAGAAAGATGCAATAAAGGTAATAATTACCAGAGTTGTTGTTCAGCCTTACATGTTAGTAAGTTATTTAATGGTCTAAACCAATTTTCCTGCCTGCCTTTGTTGTGAATCTTTATAAGAATGCTTGCACCTTTACGCTGCCTTATTAAAGATGTGGGCAGTTTTGAAGAGAGCTGCCATTTCGTGCAGCACATTAAGCCTCTGCCAAGGGGATTTCTGTTACCTGGTCACGCTGATGCGTGATGGAGCATCCCTGCTAACTTTTCTTAGAACAAGGTTTCCTTGCGCCCATGAAAACACGTTGGAGCTATGCAAGTTCTGCATACAACAGGATCGCATGTGCTTGAGTCCCCAGGCTTTAACACAATCAGGTTCTATTAGAACAAAACCTATCTGGGTGTACCACAGAGGCTGGGGAAGGCAGGGGGGAGGCGGCACAGGGCCTCTCCAAGGCCTTGTCTTTGTTTCCCCAGACTCAAAGGGTGCTTCAACCTTCAGCTACATCACTGGAAGCGTCTTCAAAGCACTGCAGAACGGAGCACACAAAGGCTAACGCTGAGGTTCTGGCAATCACTGTCTTTCTGGCAGACAAGGCCCCCCACTTCCTTTGAAGCTTTTCTTCGAGGTTGGATTAGCGTTAAATAAACTTATTAAATTGTGCAGGTAACTAGATGGACACGTTAATTTGGATGGAGGCCAGGAGCTGCTGCTGGCCATGAAGAGGAGTGCTGGGATCTACTCTCAGCAGCAAGCCACAGGCAAAATGCCACTGCATCTTGGAGGGACCCCATCTCAGGGGTCCTCTTTTCCCTTTCTGGAAACATCCTTCAAGAAGCAAGAAAAAAAAAAAAATAGTTCTCAAACTTCATCTAATACCAATAGGCCAGGGCACGAGGGTCAGCCCCAGCAGCTATTTGTTTTTGATGAATGTTACATTAAGGGAAATGCAAAAGGAACTCACGCTGACTGGCCTCCAATACTATGACAAGTCTATTTTTCCTGGAAATGCTCTAAAAGCAGCTGAATTTGTTTTGACCAGCGCACTGTCATCCTGTCTTAAGACCACTTCCTAAGCTGACATCAATCAGCCGTGCTGGCAGCTGTTTACAAAAACGGACAGGCTGAATTAGATATCCCTGAAAGCCAGACAGTTCTCTTGTCACCTTAAATACTCTCATATTCTCTCAATCCATTTTTCCAGTGGTCTTAGGAACAGAAGTAATTTTTTTAACAGCTACGCGGGGCTACGGGAGCAGTGAGAGCTGTACACAGCCATGAGCATACAGCGTACAGAGGTGAAGAAACAAGATTTACTACCACATTTGCTTTCAAGCAATCTGGAGTGGCAGAATGTATCCAGTCCCCCACATCACAACATTTCCAAAGCGTGCATAGACAGAAATCCTCTCCTCTTGATGACGACGACCCCAAACCGTCAGAGCTCAGAGCAGGAGAGGCAGCAAAGCATGAGCACGCAGTGCCAATTCCCCTTGTTGCCATTAAAAGATCCAAATAGGACCCAGTGCTTTCCTAATCTGGAAGTTATGGAACCTTCAGATGTATGTGAGGAAGGCAAGCAGTCAACCAGGAGTCCAGTCACTCGGGTAAGCTTTCCTAAAGCCAGTCCTTGCCACGTGGGGCTGCCTGTGACAGCACAAGGAACCAGAGGTAACGTGCCTTCACAGCGCAGCCTGCAGTGGTACTGACCTGGTTTGTGTCAACACAAACAAGGGTCAGCAAGTAATAGTGCTAACTGGTAAAAGTTTAAGTACAAAGTCTAACCCGGGCTGTTATCAGGCATTAAAGCTATTTCATATATTAAAAAATGCATTTAAGGACACCTTAACAGGTTGGATTTCTCACGTTCAGTCTGCTGAATCAATGAAAACAAACAGTAGGACTAATGCTCTGAGTAAACGGCTCCTCGAGGACTGTGTGCATTTTTTCCTCATATACAGCCACTTACCCAGGCCATTCAGACAGCTCAGCAATCTTCAAATTTACACTAAATATTACTGAAGGCAAAGGAAAAGTAAAATCTATTCACATCTCCTGCTCCAACAATGGCTCAGGAATGGAAGAAACATCTTAAGATGACATCCTTTGAAATAATGTCCATGATCAGACCTTTGCATGAGGACAGCCTTAAGCAGAGCTGAAAAGTGCTGGAAAGGAAATGGCCAGCACAGGTTTGCAAACCGTTTCTTTGCAGTTGGTCTACCCTAGCAATTAGAGCCACACTGAACACATCTGTCTGATCACAAGAACCCCAGCAGGTTTCACTGCTCACTGCTGGACAGCCCAGCACCTTTGTATGCAGAAACCAGCACATAACAACACAGTGAAGCTCCAGCTCACACCTACCAACCCACTCTTTCCCAAAACACCAAGCTGAACAAGCAGCAACCTCTTGCTCAAATAGAGCCAATGCCAGAGAACAAAGTGGGTTGTGGCATCTGTTCAGACAACAGCCATGTCCGCAAGCCAGAGGCTCCACATGAAAGCAGCTCCTCCTGTGCTCCAGCATGCTTTTCAGCACGAGGAGCAGGCAGGCAGTATTTTTAGCCCTTGTCTTCCATAGCTTTGCATCAAACAGAAAAGAAATCTTTTCAAAATGAAGTTCTGAGCTGAAGCTCTGCATATCTCCTCAGTACTCAAGTGTATCTATGGAGGAAAGAATCAACCTGCAGGGCTACCTGTCTCGGCAGAAATACTAGGAGAGAAAGAGATGGCAAACAGTGAGCTCTTTGCATCTAAGCAGCAGCAGGTACCACATTTTTCTTGTCACAGTGCACATTAGATTTGTAATAGCGGAAAACATCCGTTCTAACATTTCTTCTTCCCAAAGACCAGAAACAAATTATTTATTTTATAACCATAACAACTCAAACAACTCATTACGTTTACCAGAATTACCCAGTAAATTATTCATTGGTTGCAGTCAACATTAAATGCTTCAGAGATTTAAGAACAGTCTTAACGTACGAAGTTTCCTTCAAACTTGGATCAACTTGCATCAGCACTGCTTCTCCTTAAAATCCACGTGCAAGGCAAAGCAAATGGAACGTGGCAGCCACTCAGCTGCTGTGCTGTGACCCATGGGAAGCAGCAGAGGGAATACTGCCCCATACACTGCCTGAGCTCAGAAAGCAGGGACATCCTGCCCACGTGTTCCTGGTACTCTGCACACAGGCCCCAGCACAATTCCATGAAGTACCCTCCCCAAACTAGCATGGAACAAGACTAACTACAGAATTAGACTGCTAATCCCCAGAGTTCAAGAACTAAGAAAAGAATCGCTTCACGTTACTATTATTAATGCCTAGGAGCCCAGTGCTATGCAAGACTCAACAGCACGGGGAATCTTGCAAACAAAATCTATACACAACAAGCTGCATCAATTTCTGCCCTTAAAAAAGACAGCTGCCAAAATAGATGGATTTCAGAAGTGAATTCACAAGACTGATTAATCATACCCCACTTACCTCCATCATCAAGGGGCCGCTTCTGCACTCCATAACCGTAAACTGACGGGTCCACGAGTGTTGTCGAATTATTCAAGTGAGGAATATCTCCAATTTTAGCAGCAATCTATACAAACAGGTGATAAAAACCTGGTTAGCATATTTACAGTTTCAGCCACCGCAGCTAAACAATCCTTCTTCAAACAAAGCATTTATCCCCGTCCAACAGTCTCTTGGCTGCTATTTTTTCTACATAGATGGCTTTGTAGAAGTCCTAGGAAAGCAGTGCTTTATTTGTAAAGTAAACAGGCTTCCACCTGCTTTTGATATTTGTGTAATTGAGACTGCATTCACCCAGCTCCTCTTCCTGGTCATGAGTATGCATTTGCTGGCTGTAATATTACATTCAGATTTGTTCATTCATTCAGCAGACAGCCGACAAGTTAAACCTAGTCCCCCAGCTTTGTCCTGGAGAAGCTGCCACCACCACAGCAATGTAGGAAGACATTTCTGCTGCATTCATGCATATCCAGATACACAGAAATGCATAGCTGCACATCAGTGGGGGGTGAGAGGAGTGGAAGGGGAAGAACGTGCAAATACACAGCACAAGGACAGGTTTGGGGACTCCTTGTCAAAGGGGCTGGATCAGTACGTGTTTACTGTACGAAGAATAAGCCAGTGGGCAAACGATCAGCCCAGAATAAGTTTCTATTTCCTGCAGTACGAGCACAGCTAAGGTTGCCTGTGCTTCTGCTTGCAGCCCTTGGAGGAGTAACAGCCATTCCAGGGTGGGCTGGGAGGCAAGGAGGATACTTTGAGGGAGGAGGAGTCAGGCATCACAGGAAGCAAATAAAATAAGTGAGAGACACTCTGAAGCATCACTGAATACAAGTGAAACGTTAAACATTCGGGAGACAATTACACAGACTGATGTAACAGAGGTGAGCTCTTTGACCTGTTCTCCAGGTTAACCAATGTAAGCCAAGTCTGAGAGCCAACCAGCTTTAGTAGTTCGACTACCAAATACACCCTTCAGGGACGGGCAAACCGCGGCCCCACAGCACAGCTTGCCTACATGAAGCACTCTGCCAGAGTGCAGAATACAGCTGCAGAACAAATACGCTGTGTGCTGCACAGCACTCACTTCCTTTTCCAGCAAAAAGAAGGGATCTTTGCTAGGAGCGCGATCTTGCCGTCTTACGCCTGGCATATCACAGAGAAGCAGCGAAAGGAATAGATGAAAAAAGAGCTCTTTACAAAGATAGGCTTTAAACGAAGGCAAGGGCAAACGGCAAATATAACTAAAGGTGTCTCTGAAATTAAGTTTTATTGCAACAAAAAGACATCTACAGTAATTCTGGCTGTTGACACTATCAACTGCTGCCGTGGAATAAACAACCGCATAAGATGCAGAACCACAGGGTAGTGAAAAATGCTGTATGAAATAACCTTGGAAGATTGAGGGCACTGCTTTTAGAAAGAACAGAAAATGCTCTTGATGCCTTGTTTGGAAGGGGCTCCAAGTTTCGACCATTTTCTTGCATTCCGACCACTCCTTCCCAATCTCCTTTAGAAAGGCAACAACTTGGCTTTAATCAAGTGCCAGGAGCTGGAGAATAAATCCATCCTACCTTAACAGGATTTTAACTAGTTTTGGATGAGCAACTGGGAACGTAACACTAGACCATTCTACCCACAGTGTGGTTACCCAGACCCCAAAGAGGAAGTGCTGTTCAGCCATAACCTAGCACAGGGACCAGCCACACAGGGCACATTGCACATCAACATCTCCAAGAGCCAGAAAGCTCAGAGAAATATATTTCTGAACCAGCCCTTGTCCATTCTGCACAAGGAAGCATGAAGAGATGCCCGCTCTTTGCTGGATGCTGTACTGCAGTCATGCTTCCAGCCCCTGACTCACTTGCTTCCCCCTTGTTTGGGATGCAGAGGACTTAAACGAAGGTACAAAGAACATAGATACTTCCTGACTACTTTAGGGCTGGAAAGGAGATAAAAAAATAAGTTTTACAATAATCCATTGGACAGCTTTAACATCGTAACTCACAATCAAAACTTATGCCACTGAGCTGTAGTCAAGTATAACGTACCCTGGCAGAACATTTGATTTTAAAGTGCCCTTTGTGAAATCTGTTAAACAATATGAAGAAAAAAAAAATACACTGTACAGAAACTGCTAGCTGATAGTTTGGAACTATGAATTTGAAATCACACACCACACCTGCACAGGGAAGAAGACCCTGGCCTACAAAAGGAAGATAGCATAAAGCACATAGGTGTGAACAGCAGATCCCCAGCACCAGAGCTGCCAGCTCCTTGAGCAGGAGAGCACTGCAAATCCCTGCTTGTGTTTCACATGCAGCCATCGCCCCAGCACATGAGCCTCAAACACAGGGCCAAACTGAGAGTCAAAGCAATTCTCACACTACCAGCTTTTGGGATATTCTCTCTCTTCCCCCCCATCCCCCTCTTGCCTTAATTGAAACTCACACCCTTATCTCCAAAGCCTCCCAGCTGCCTGGGATTACACACAGACAACACGCCATCTCATACAGTAGGGAAAGAACCCTGCAAAATTAAGAGTTAAGCTTTTAAAGTAGATAAAACAGTTAAAATGCATTTTAACTTCTCGTGTTCAACTTACAATGGGAACCTCAGTTTTTACTACAGGTTCAGCAGCAAGATAAGCACCAAAGTTAGAACACAGCAAAAGTAAGCAGACCTAGCCCTTATCTGCCTACATGACCTTGAGTAATGTACTGCTAGCTGCTGCTCCACTGCTTTTGCCTCTCTGCATGTCAGTGGTTTGTTTTTTTTTTTTTTTTTTTTTAACCCAGCACATCCATTTTGCTGAGACTAGAAAGGGATTCACACATACAGCCCACTCACAGTAAGCCTTCAGGCCACCTCATCCATGTTACCATGTCATCCAAGGTACCCAAGATCAGCCACCGCAGGCTGCTAAGCCACAGTTCTTTCTTCTCATTCCTTCTTCATTGCCTCTGGAAACTCAGATTCAGGGTATATATGGCAGGTTACAATAATTCTACACGTATCTTATTGAGGGAATCACTAATGCATACCTTGCACAGAAAATGAGACTGCCAAGAAGGAGAGAAGATAAGAATCAAACAAGATGCTGTTCTGTCAGTGAGAGCTAAACCAAGGGCAGTCCAACAGAAACCAATTTTTATCTGAAGTACTGGCAACTCTGCTTTTTTTGGGCAATCCCATTACTGGAGAGGGGAACAAACATCCTTTCCAACTCTCTCAACCCCAAAATGTCTCAGAAGAAAAGCTACCATGCCTGGGAGCAGCTGCCCTCACGTGCACATCAGTCACCGCATACAACCCATAAACTAACCCACTCACTCAAGACGTGGTGTGGAAGGTGCAGAATAGCCTGTCTCAAAGCTCTAGGTTTCACTTGAGAAAGTATTCTGCTGCACATCTCAAGTATTTAAAAGCACACACACAAAAAAATCCAACCAAGTCCAGCACAAGCACAGAAAGCAACACAGCAGTCGTTTCTTCCAAAATACTACAGATGTCTCACTGTCACATCAGCTCACATCCCAGTGTCACTGAAGATCGCAGTTACTGTGATTGCTCAGGAAAGTCTTCTCTGTCCTGAATTATTTAGTTATTACTAACTAAGCACAGTGTACTGCAGCTCAAGTTCACTGTAATGGCTCTCTTGAATTCAGTAGATTTGATTACTAGTCTTAAGTGCAAGCTTAAGCTTTGAAATAATTCAAATTCAATATTCAAAATAATTCAGAGATGTTAGTCTAACCCAGGAAGCAAGAACTACAACCAAAGTTTTTTCCCCACTGCCCCCTCCCTTCTTAGAGCAAAAGTAATATTCTGAAAAGCTACGACACTGGCCAGAAGCAACACACAAGCTGACATCCACACACTGGACCATCAGGCAACCTGCTGCACTGAACACACTCAGTGAAAGCTCTGCCATCACCTCCAGAGAAATATCTGTTGCAACTGCCTCTGCATCACACCTGATTCCCAGCCAGAAGTGTCACTGCAGATTGCTAGGGCAGGAAGGGAAACAGCTGCCAGCAGAGTGCTTGCCAACAATGTTTTTCATCCTACAAATGCTAACGAAACAACAACCAGGTAGCACACAGCACACTGCTCAAGAACGTAATCCACTGCACTCCCAAGAACACATACAGGGAACATTTTTCTCAACAGGCCTTGTGTCCAGCATGAAAGGTAGCATGAAAGCTTCTGCTCTGCAGTGCCTGACCTGAAATTGACAGCTTTGAGGATTTTTAAGCATTTCAGATCAGACTAACTTTGGTTGTATGCTACTGGGAATCCAAAATATTCTTTCAAGTATAATAAACTTAAGAACAGCAAAATCAGAGAAAATAAAATATCAAAGAATTCTTTATCTCCTCCACGTGTCAACACAAGGCACCCAAACCTATAAACGTGACAACAGCAGCCACACAACACACGTGACTCAGTTTCAGCTAGAACTGCTTTAGCCTAACACAGCCCAAGACATCCCACTTTCACACTTCACCTGTTACTGATTAGATAGGTGGTACATACTGCAGTTCTTCCAACACAGATCAGCAGGTAACCATGTTTTCTTGTGCACAGACAAGTTACTGACAAATTATTCAACTCCTAGCAAGCAATTATATTATCAAAATTCAATGACATTTATGCAGCAAGAGGCCTTCAGTTACGGATGACCAGGTCAAGACAAGCACACCTCTCAAATTTACTACTCCAAGCTGAGGCAATAGGAAAGCTTTCAGATACCACACACAGTCAAGGCCATGATGCTCTGTTAGCCACTGAAAGAAGGGACGCGCTTGGCCTCACCCAGGAGGCAGCTACTCGCCTACTGCCGTACTTCTGTTAAGAAGCAAATGAACAGATGAAGGGCAAACTGGCTTGGGAGTTCTTCTGGGAAGGTGCAGGGTGTTCCTCTGGAACAGCAAGCACCTTTGTATCCTTTGCTGCAGACTGTGCAGAACAGGATTTGCAGCCACACTGATTCACAAGTGAGCCATGACTGATGGTAAGCCGCTCAAGTCCCTCCAGAGCAACTGCCTGAAAGGTCCTCAGGTCCACATCAGTTTCTTCAAAGTTTCCCATTTAAGTGAAAAAAGGAAGTCTGTGAAACAAAAGGTAACTGCCACCTGGCCTGCAACATCAGAGTGAAGTCAGTCTTCCAGCACCAGGCCCAGCATTTGGCTGCATCACACTTTGCAACAGTCAGACAGCGCTTACTGAGCGCAGCTCTGTCAGAGCTGGGACATTCCCTGTGAGGGAAACGGAGCACAAACCACAGCAAATCCTCCGGACATCCATGCAGCACAGCTACAGCTGCTCATCCCCAATGCTCCTTCCCACAAAGCGTAGCACAGACAGGCAGCAGGCGTCCCACCTTGGGCACAGAGGTGGCGACAGCCGCAGGTCCACAGTTGCCATCCACACACTGCATGAGCCTAGCGATCGCAGCTCACACCTCACCCCCTCCATTCCATGAGGGAAAGCACGGTTCCCTCACACCGGGGACGCCGCCGAGCCGAAAGCCTAACGAAGGCCTCACTTACAGACAGACCGCACGTTCCACGCAGCTCCCAGTGCCGCGACCCCCGCCGCAACGCCCCAAGTCCCCAACGCCGAGCGGGGCAACCGGGCGCGGCTTCAGAGCAGCGCTGTGAGGAGCGCTCGGCGGCCCGGCCCGGCCCCTCAGGGCGGCCCCGCGGCCTAGCGGCGTCCCGCGGCCTCCTCCCGCCCCCCGGCCCTGCCCTGCCCGCGCTCACCTGCCGGACCCGGTGCAGAGCATCGACGAAGCCCTCGGGCTTGATCCCCACGGGCGCCGCGCTCTGCCCCTGCGCCAGCTCCGCCATGACACGCGCCCCGCGCCCGCCCGTTGACGCCGCCGCCGCGCCGTCCCGCCGCTCCGCCCGGGGACCCGCACCCGGAAAGGGAAAGAGCCCCCCACTTCCGCCGGAAGTGGGCCGGGGAGGCGGGGCCCGGGGCGGTGCGGGAGGGGCGGTGGGAGGGGGCGCGGCCGGGTCTGGTGCGGAGCTTGGTGCGGGGCCTGGGGGCGGAGGGGAGCGCGGGCTGTTCGTCCGAGCGGCTCCACGCGTGCACCTGAGCAGCGGGCCGGGCGGGGCCGGGCCCAGCCATGTGCGTCCAGCCCCTCCCTGCTCGGGCTGCTCAGGGCCCCGCCTGCAGCCTTGGGCACCTCCTGCTTTGGGGCACGCACAGCAGTACAGGGCCTCGCTGCCCTCTGAGCAAACAATTTCTTCTTTATATCTAACCTAAAACTACTTTTTTTTTTAAATTTAAAACCATTATCCCTTGTCACGTTCCCTGCTGACGAGTCCCTCCCTGCTTTCTTATAGGCACTACAGTGAGGTCTCCCAGAGCGTTCTCCAGGCTGCACGCCCCCAGCACTCCGCTGTCTCCATGCAGAGGTGATGCAGCCTCTGTGCATTCTTTTGCCCTGCCTTGGACCCACTCCAGGAGACCCAAGGCCAGGCTGGATGTGGCTCTGGGCAGCCTGGTCTGGTGGTTGGTGACCCTGAACATAGCAGGGAGTTGAAACTGGATGATCGTTGTGGTCCTTTTCAACCCAGATCATTCTGTGATTCTACGACTCTTTATGATCAATGTCTGTGGCCCCCAGAGGTGAACGCTGCTCTAACAGCACCCGTATCACCTCAGAGCCAGTTTCCCAAAGCTGCTGGATCAGAGTGTTAAATTCAACAGTGAAACCATGGTCCAAATGTTGAAAGTTCTGGTTGCTCTCCTTGGCTGTTCTTTGCTCTTTTCAGCACTGTGTGCTGTGTGAATACCAACATTTTCTCTTCTCACTTCATTGCAGATCTCAACCCTAAGCAAAAAAAGACCCTGTTTATAAGGGGATTAGGAACATGGCTTGACAACAGAAGGATTTATAACAACCGGGTGCTTGCATCTGCATCAGCAACATCTTTCATCTGTGTTCTAGTGCTTGGCAACCCTGCCCACAGCAAGGTTGGAGACCGATGACCTTTAAAGTCCCTTCCAACCTACACCACTCTGTGATTCTATGAAATGATTCTATGATCAAGGCAGTTTCTGCAGTCATGGTAGAGAGCATTGAGATCTTCATTTCTCACTTTCTCATCTCGCTGTTTTCCTGTGGCAGGGATGCTCCAGGTGCCAGCTGCTTGGCAAAAGGTGTTTTGGTTGACCGTGGGGGACACGAGCAAGATGTAAATCTCTGCAGACAGAGGAAGATGGAGCCCAGCAAAGCAGTATCAAGACATCAGGCAGCAATTGAAAAGGAGGAAATTACAGGCCTTAAACACTTCCAGAAACAAATTTCTGATGTAAATCTTCCTTTTGAAGAAAAAAAGAAAGAAAGAAAGAAAAAAAGCAAAAGAAAGGAGTGTTTCTATACCTCCATCACCCTTCTCCCCCTACTGTCCCCACTCCGGAGACACACACACCTTCACACACACACGCACTGAAATTAGTTGTGACAGCTGAAATTCTCTTCTCGTTGGACGATGTTTGACAGGGTACTTAAAAAAAGAGAGGAGAAAAAAAAAGAAGAAAAAGGAAAGTGGTTTGGTGTCGCGTGGGGGAGGCGGAGGGGGGCGATGGGGTGGGGGATTTCAAGTGATACAAGGCGCATAATTCAGGCTTCTTGGATTGCAAAAGCCCCTCTTACCTAAAGGGCCTGCTGCCTTTATTTTTATCCAAATGGCTCAATTACTGCAAAGCCCCACAGAGAAAATTATGGATGTTTGCCTCTATTTTTCTCCCCTTGTCTCGACAACTGTAGATATTTTGTTTTGCTTCTTTCCATCTCTTTTTTTTTTCTTTTTTTTTCTTTTTTTTTCCTTTTGGTGCTGATGGGTGCGGGGGCTGGAGGGGGCCGGGGGTAGGGATGGGGATGGATGAAAGACACAGGGGATGGGCATGGCATGTGGTGGCCCTGCCACTATTGCTCCACCTGTTCCTGTCTCCATTTCCCACCTTGCACCTTGCACCTTTTGCTCCTTGCATCCCCCTCGTCCTCTCTCTCACTCTCACCTTTCTCTGAGTCCTCTCCCCCTTCCCTCTCCCTTCCTTCCTTCCCCCGAGTGCCCCCTCCCTGTGCCTCTCAAAGCCACCATAATAGCAGCTTGTTTGGCACTTCACTTGGTCTCAATGAGAAAATTCCCCCCTCTCCCTCTTTTTGCCTTCGTTATTTCCAAACCCTGCAATAGCTCCTTTGCTCGGGGCTGCAGGAAGTGCCCATTTTTCAACATTTTTCTTTGGCTTATGTTTGTCATCCTCTGAATTACCGCACCGGGGAGTCCAGTCAGCCCGACACCGGGCCCTGCTATTCACGCCTCTCCTGCTCCTTGAGATCATAGAGGGAGAAATTAGTTATTTATTTCCAGCACCGCCGCGGTGCCCTTTCCAGCAGAAGTGTTTGTTTTGATTGCTGGCTGCAGAGCCAGGAGGAGCCAGGATGGAAGAGGGTCCCCAGCACAGTGAGGCCCTGCAGGTCCAGGCCACTTTGTCCCATGGACACCTTGTTGTCCCCGGGACAGTTGTACTGCAGTATGACAGATCCAATATGGTGCTGGGGTCGCCGTGCTGTCCACGTTTCTGTCCTCAGGTCAGACGTGTCGTGGCATAAAGGATCCCACATGAGGAGCGTCTCACCCCAAGCTCGTCCTGACGACAACAACCTGGGAGAGCAGGGAGAGGCTATGCAGCCTGGGGGGGAAAATCCTGCTCCAGCACAGCCCGTGGTCAAGGAGGTCCCATCCCCCTTGCTGGGTGCTGTAGCTTGGCTTGGGTGCACCAAGGGTAGGGCAGCAGCAGTGGTTCATATCAACGCCACCTTGTCCCAACCCAGTATAAGGAACCCAACAAAGCAAGGATTTTCCCTGCTATGGGAAGACTGAGATGCAGTGGGTTGCACTGCTGGCACCTGTGCAGGTCCAGCTGGACAGGGTGCCACCAGCCTTGATGTGAAGGACACGACACATGGTAGCATCAGGACAAGGGCCTGGCTGAGCAGGGAGCTGCAGCTTTAAAGCAAGAAGAGGAGCAGCAGGAAGAAGAAAAATTGGCCCAGTAGGTAGACCTGCTATTTAAGTGCAGCGAAGAAGCAAGCACAGAGAATTACAGGAGAAATGATAGTGCCCTGACAGCTGCCATTTCCCACCACAAGTCTCCCCTAATGGAGTCCTAATGTAGTGGTGGGCTCCTCGCTGACAGCCCAGCCCCAGACAGGGCTTGTCTTTGTGCTGGTGACAGATGGGACAGTCCTGCAACAAACCTGTAATCCTCTGATTTTTGCCGCCTCTGTTTAACCCCTTCTTCCCCTGGCACGGCTCACTGCCCAGGTGTGCATGGAAACCTCCTGCCCCACTGCAGGGTGCTGGGTCCTTGTGCTCCAAAGCATGGATATGGGGAGCGGATGGCAACCTGTGGATGCCTCCCACATCGCTTGGTGGCTGTGGGCAGGTGGCAGAGCTCAGCATCAGGACTAAACCAACACTGCAGCGTGGCTCCCTGTGTGGAAAGTAAAAAGGCAGAGCCTCTGCTGGCTGCATTCCCTGCGCTGCCCTGCCTGTGTGACATTTATGTGTGATTCAGGCAGGTGAATCAGTGCAGGTGTGCTCATCAGCGGGGCTCTGGGCTGCCTGCCCAGCACGGTGGCTGTGGGCTGTGCCATCAGCCACAGGGGATGGCAGTGTGAAAATCTGCCAAAGTTTTCTGGCAGGAAAAGAAATACTGCTCTGGGAGCATACTGAGATGTGCTGAGGGCTAGCAGGATGGATGGATGGAGGATGCTGTGGCACAGGGGACGCAGGCAGAGGCATACTCTCTCCTATGGGGATGCAAGGAGAGAGATGAAACACCTGCGGATGTGTTCTCCACATATTTCACAATGATAGACCCAAAGCGTCCCTGGAGAGGGATTTTTGGATGCTCCATTAGGCAAAGGGTCAATCCCTTCCACCTCAACCCCATCACAGAGCATCTCCAGCAAGCAGCATCATTGCCCCAGAGCAAAAGCTCCCCATCCTGAGTCCCCCAGTGAGCCCCCATCCCACACCCCTCCTCATAGGGCTGGTCCCATGGACGATAGAGCTCTGAACACCCCTTGCCCCAAAGTGCCCAGTGCTGTGGCAGCATCCCACTCTCCCAGCAGGAGAGCAGCAGCAGTGTGCGCAGGTACTCAGCACAATTAGCCAACAAGTGGCTGTTTTGTGAGGGATTGTTGCTGATGTGTTTTAAGTGGCTTTCTGAGTGGAAAATGTTAGGCGTTGGAGAGGATGGCAGACAAAGGGGGGGATGCATTAGGTTTTATTGGTCTGGTTTGCACACATCTGACATCACTCTATTAAGCAAGTTCTGCCCGGCTTTAGGGGAAAATGAAAGATAAAGCAAGAAAAAAGGGGCTGAGGGCATGGGGCGGGGGGAGTACCAAGGATTCAAACAGGCAAGTGGGGGCTTAATAGCAGGAGACACTGCAGCAAACTGTGTCAACCAGATGGGACCCGGGTGCTGCAGGAGGAAAGGGGAATTAGCCAACCCGTGCTTTGTTCCAGCAGAAAGCACGGCCCTCTCCCCCCAGGAGCTGCCTACGTGTGATATAATACAGCCCCTTTCAGCTGCTAAGCTGGCCAAGGACAAAAGTCACCGATAAATAGCGAGAGGGAGATGCTGAAAGCAAAAGGCAGAGCTAGCGAGGGCCATGCATGCTTGTTGGGCTGCCCAGCCCGTGAGCATCATGGGGACCTGTGCCAGGCACATGATGGCAGGGCTGGGGGTGACACCACGGATGGTGCTGGCAGGGCAGCAGGGCATGGGGGCACACTGCTAGCCCTGTTTTCTCTGTCCTGATCCCCATAATGCTAACAGGGATGGAAGAGTCCCCTTGAGGATAGGCTGGAGGGTAAAGTCCCAGCCCTGTCCCAACCTGCTGCTTGGGGATGTTCAGCCAGTGTGATCATCCACGAGGCACCATGCACCACATCATGGTTAAAACACCAAATCCTCCCCCAGCCTCAAGAGGCACAGGCCCCTGCCCCTGCTTTCCCTGCAGCCTTAGCTCCAGCATCTCGTTTCTCCCTTTGCTCCCCTACCTGGCAGCTGGACACAGCTCCCTGGGAGCCACTGACATGTGCTGCAATAAGGAAAGCTCAAAGCCCCTGCTCTGAGCTGAAACCCAATTCAGAGTGGAGGGGTAAGCACTAAACCAGGCATGGTGTCATGCAAACAAGCAGAGCCCCATCCCTGCACCCTCAGGGTCTCATGGAAACACCAACTGCACCTGACCTGGGGGAGGTGCTGGGTGCCGGGGTCAGGGAGCTCAGCTGGGACACTGAGATGGGCCAAGGGAGTGGTGGGGACCTCGGGATGCCCCATGCAATGCTGAAGGGCTGGGGCCAAAGTGCTTTTGCCAAGGGGAGGTAAAACCAATCGATGAGCTGTGACATGCTGACCCTGGTGCTAAGGCATAAACTTTTAATGCATGACAGTAAATCTGAGAGTGGGACATAGGGCAGATGGCTGGGGAGTAGGGCAGGATGTGAGGGGATGAGGAAAGAGTGGGAACTCCCAGACATGGGACCCAAAGGCTAACATGGAATGGGCAATGCCTCTACCAGGACAAAGGCGTCCTAGCAGCTCAGTGTAACTCCCCAGCAGCCCCTGTTCCAGTGCACATGCCGTGCTCTGCCATTGGGTCACTGGCCCAGTGGTATCCCAAGGTTTCCCCAACCCCACTATGCCATTCAGTGCACAGGGATGGGCCAGGTCTTGGTTCTCAGCCCTCATCCCCTGCAGACCCAGTTACCAGCAGCTAACATAAAATACCTGTCCTTTCCCAGCCCTTTCCCACTGCTCCACTTTGGTGGGGGGATGCACCCGGTAGGACCCCCTGGCCATTGTGATGGAGTGACCAGATGGATGCTGGGCAGCAGATCTGTGGGTTCCTTGTCTGCCCCGAGCTGGCCGCGCTTTGACGCCCTGTCCCCCTGAGGCAGCCTTTTGTCACGGGTGTGCAGAAGGGCCCCTGTGTCCCTCTGATCCCTGCCGCCCCCAGCATAAAGCTGGCTTTCAGGGACCTCCACACTGCTGTTGGGAACCTCCCAGGGAAGGAGCAAGGGAGCTTCTTGTTAAACGGGGACACACAAAGCCACCTTGTTAAGGGGTTTACAAAGGCGACCATCTCCCCCTCGCCTGGGAAGTCAGCATCTGGCGGCTCCCAACCTCACCAGAGGATGGCTTTCTCTTGGTGAGACACAAACACTGCGTAGCTGTGCTGCGCTGCAACTCTGTGAGCTGTGGGATGGGCCCCTTTAACCATTTGGAGCTGGATCTCCAGAGGGAAATGGGAATCGAACACCCATCACATGGAGTGCTCTGATTTGCCCTGCAGCACAGCATCCTCAGTGCAACTTGCCCCAGACTACATGGGTGGTTTTAGCCCCTCCATTAGGAAAGGTGGAGGTTCCCTCCCATCCACCCTGCAGGTAGGGACGTGGAGTCCCAGCAGGTGACAGGGACAGCAAGCCACGGGTGTCCCCACTGCCCTCCCATTATC